TGTTTATATCCCACTTCAGGGTTTGTATAAAACTCTTTCCATCTCATATTTGCATACCATGGTGGTAAGCCTAACGCAGCGTCATTTGACATGGCAGTTTGCATTTGTACATCTGTTGGCACTTGACCATAGTTTGCCATTGCAGTTTGTATTCTAACTTCATTTGGAATATTCTCTGGGTTTGGTTGTCCAGGTTGCTGTGCATTCGCTAAGTTCTGTGCGTCCATTTAATATTAGATAAAAATATCTCTTACGAGTACATATACTGGACATTTGCAGGCATTGGTTCATCTTCATATTCTCTATATCTTTCTGCCACGTCAAATAAGTAAATGACACAATGGAAAAAACCTAAAACAAGTAGTCCTATTTCAAACCACATTTACTTACCAATAAAATTTCTTTGTTATGACACTTTCTCCAGTTTATAGGACCTCTCTCATATTCTATCTTGTCATATATAAACTCATAGTCATGTATGTCCTCTAACCATCTCATGACACTTTCCAAACCACTTTTATCGGATGTAAAGTAAAAGCATGGATGGTTATGTAAAACGTCTAAAGTTTCTAAAGAGTCTCTCAAAGTCCAGTCTACTTGGTATTGAAAATCCCATGTGTTATAGAACGGCGGGTCCACTATAAAGAAAACATTTTCCTTGTCTTTATATTTTTCATACAACTCTGTCCAATGACATCTCACAAACTCTATACCCTCAATATATTTTTCTATGTCCTCTTTGAAAACATTTGTATAGTTGAGATATAAAACTTTTGACATAAGTGTTTCAATGTCATGAACTCTTATAGCACCACTATATAATAGTCTAGCAGATATACTATCCCAGTCAATATACTCTGCTTTTTTCAAAACCTCTCTGACAGTATTTTTCTTATCTAATGGTATACGTTCCATCTTACCTATAGGTATCTTTTCTTTTAACTCTTTCAATATTTTGTTTGTGTCTGGTATATGTTTGAGACAGTTCATATAGTTGTCGAAGTCATTGCATATAATCTTTGAGTCAGGAAATACAGTATGGCACAAATGAGATATATAGAAACTTCCACCGAACAAATCTACAAATGTTAGACCATTCGGTAGTTTCTTAAGTTCTCTCAATAGAATATCTTTACATCTACTCTTATTTCCAAAGAAGGGTAACGGTGGTTTTGTAAAATTCATTTTATATTTAATAAAAATGTTTTTTCCCTGAAAAGTGACAGAAAAGTGACAAAACATCTTCGGGGCTAGAGGGCACGAAGTGCCTGGAAGCCCCAATGCCCTTTTTTTTTATTATAAAAAAGAAAAAATAAAGCACGTTAAAATTTTTCTTTCTTGATTTTTTACAAAATCTACTTAGAATTATGCAAAATATGACTAAATAATTATAAATTTCAAGTTAAATTTTAATTTTGATAAATAATTTAAATTTCAAAATATCAAGTTCAGTTCGACTATGTATGTAGTAATTCCTCAATAAAGTGCCAAAACCCTATTAAAATATATGAACATTTTCAACATTTTAATGTTTTTATTTAAAAATTTGTTGGAATATGAGCTTCAAACAATTATTATGTAAACAAAAATAATTAAATATATGTATTTATTCGTATTACAACCGTAGTAAGTCGATTCTTCCTTTCTTCTACTGAGGTTTGAATTTGATTTCGAATTGTAAAGAGATTCAAAGGGAAAATACTAGCGGATAAAAACTACCTCCATGAAAGGGTCATAATGGACTCAAGTTGTATTTTTTGATATTTTTTGCTTTTCGAGCCTAAATAGGTAGCCAAGATAATGCCTAAAAATAAGGTTCTAAATTCTGAAGTTTACATGATCCTCTCGTGTGCACCCTTAAATCATCGTGTAAAAAATTCAAATGTTTTTGTTTGTCTCTTTGGCAAGATGCTTGTCAATGCGTATTGATGGTTTGATGGTAGATGGATCAAGCCTTAATGATATAGTTAATAAATATCAACTTGTTAAGTCTCAAATGAAACTTATTTACATCTTATCCACAGGATTCGACTTTTCTATGATAAACCTTAACGAATATCCAAGTCTACAGTCTTTGCGTGCCGATCCTGATACATATTCCAGCAATATTCCTTCATCATTCTTCCAAGGCCGAAGTAATATTAATGACATATCGTTTCCTGATGTAACGTCAATCTTACAGTCCACATTTAGTGGTTGCTCAGAGCTTGTCAACGTTGTTTTCGAAAAATGCACTAAAATCGAAAATAACGCATTTAATAATTGCCCAAAACTCGAATATATTTCATTTCCTGCTCTTGTTACGATATCAAATAGTGGGTTCAATGGATGTACAAGTCTTAGAAGCCCAGAATTCTCCAGTTTACAAAACATCGAATCTAACGCTTTTTCTGGCTGCAGTAGTTTAACTGAAATCACAGCCCCACAATTAGTTACTATTGGTGAAAGTGCTTTTTCTGGATGTACATCGTTAACGACACTTTTGGCACCTAAAATTCAAAGTATTCAAAAACTTTCATTCTCCAGATGTAAATTCAAAAATATTACGATGGAGAAAGTGATAAATCTTGGTGAAAGTGCATTTCTTGAATGCGGCGAACTTGTTTACATTAATCTTCCCTTATTAACTACATTAGGAAAAGGTGCTTTCATGAGTTGCAACAACTTAGAAACAGTTATTCTTCCAAAAATACAAAGTTTTCCAACAGATTCTTTCCCAAGCAATGCAAAAAGTATCAACATCTTCTTGGATAGTCTTGTAACACTCAAACAAAATAACTTTGGATCGTTAAAGAACATTCAAAAACTTTCAATTCCTAATTGCGAAACATTTGAAAGTTCTGCTTTATCAGATACAAACATTGTTACAATTGATTGTCCAAAACTCCAAAACATTGGAAATTCTGCACTTAAAAATTGTGCAAAATTGACAAAAATTGACTTAGAAAATGTTAAAAATGTTGGTGAACTATCATTCAACGGATGTAACGGCTTAAAAGTTTTTAATTTGCCTTCATGTTTAACATTAGGAAATAGTTGTTTCAAAGGCTGTCAAAATATGATTGAAATCAATCTTCCAAATGTCAAAGAATTACCAAATTCTTGTTTTGAATATTGTGTTTCTATTTCGGAAATTTCACAACTAAATAATGTTGAAAAAATTGGTGAAAGATGTTTTTATAACTGTGCTGATTTAGTCAGTATAAATTTGCCAAATTGTTTAATCTTTGGCAATTTTAGTTTTACAGCATGCGAAAAATTGAAAAATATCCAATTTCCAAATTGTCAAATATTTGGAATCGAATGTTTTAGTCAGTGCGAAAACTTAGAAACATTAAAATTCAACAATCTTAAAGAAGTTGGTCATGATTGTTTCAGTTATTGCGCGAAACTAAAAGAAATTGATTTTCCAAGTTTAGTTGTTTTGGGTGAATACTGTTTCCAGAATTCTCCAAAATTAGAAGTTGTCAAATTACAAAAATTGGAAAATCTGCCAACAAATGTTTTTGACAAAAATACTTCAATTTCTCTCTTAGTTTTGAACGGAATCAAAACACTGAAGACCAAATGCTTAGGAGAATTGTTAAATGTAGGTAAATTAGAATTAAATAGTTGTGAAACAATTGAAGATAATGCATTGAATGGATCAACAATTAATGAAATATTGATTCCAAATGTGAAGAAGATTTCAAAATCTTCATTCCAAAATTGTCAAAATTTGAAAGTTTTAGAAGCTCCTCAACTCACAGAAATTGGTGATTATTCATTTAGTAACTGTAATAATTTAGAAAGAATTTCTTGTGACAAATTATTAACTATTGGTAATCATTGTTTCGAAGAATGTTCTAATTTGAAAGAAATCAATTTACCAAACGTTCAAAATATTAATGATTCATCATTCAAGAATTGTAAAAATCTTGAGAAAATTATTTGTTCCAATTGTGAACTTTTAGGAAATTTAGTATTTGAAAATTGTCAGAAACTTAATGAAATTCAATTTAACAATCTCAAAGAAATTGGAGATCAAACATTCCTTAATTGCAACAAATTAGTTATTGTTTCTCTTCCTTCATTGACAAAAATTGGATCATCTGTGTTTTCTAACTGTAATTCTATCACAACAATCAATTTATCATCAATCAAATCAATCAACACAAACTTCTTAGAAAACATCAATTCACAACATCATATTTCATTATATATAGATTCACTTGAAACATTACCAGAACCAAACTATTTCAATTTACTTGAATTTGAAACACTTTCTCTTAACTCAATCGAACGCATCTCAAAATTCGAAAACTCATTAATTCACTCCATTTCGATCCATAATGTTTTGATTATTGAAAACTCCACATTTTATAATTGTACAAAATTAACAAAAATTGAATGTCAAAAAGTGACAGAAATTGGAAATTGTTCATTTTATAATTGTCATGCACTTGAAGAATTGCATCTAAATAGTCTGAAAAAGATCATTGGACAAATGAATTTCTTTGGCTGCTCATCTCTGAAATTAATTGAGATGCCAAATCTTGAAACTGTTGATGAACATTACAGTGATTATTTTGATGGTTGTTCATCATTGAAAGAAATTTCATTGGGAGACAAACCCCCAAATAAATTTGGAAGCCAAACTAATTTCTCCCAAATAAAGATTAATCTTCCATCTAAGAAATCATGGGATAATTACGCTAGCCAATGCACGCAAACATTCGTTGGAGAAAATATTTGGTATGGATATAAGACAAAGACTTATAACACCAAGAAACTTTCTATTTTCTTGGTTATAACTGTTGGAATTCCTATTTTTATAGTTATTCTTATATTAGTTATTTGTTTATGTATCAGATCTAAGAGAAAGAAGAATTCGTTTGAAGCTAAGACCACCACAACTGATTCTCTTCTCGCTACACCTGTTTTAATATAAAATAATATGTATTTATCAACTTCAATTGAAAAATTCTTTTATAACTAAAAATTATTTATTATAGCTATTTTTAAATTGCAATTGAAATAAAAACAGCAAAACTAGATAAACCTGGTAATGATGAAAAGCTATTCTGTTTGCATGATATTTCTCTTTCTGCGCAAATCTCAGCAAATGCAATATCTGGGATGCCACGTTCTGAAAATTTACTGCGTTTAGTTTTCATACACTGAACAGAACCGCATTTACGAAGTTTTGTACAGCCATCAAATGCATCCTTCCCAATGGTGGCAAGATTTGAAGATGGAACATATAAGAACGAAAGGCTTGTGCAGTTTGTGAATGACATGTATCCAATATCTGTGAGCCGATCTCCGTAGAAGAGAACTCGAGTCAGATACTTGCTTCCCATGAAAGCATAGTTTCCAATGGACTGCATTGTTGGAGGAACAATAAATGTCGTTATTCTAATTGATGGAAAGAATGTGATCAAAATTGTCTCGTTGACATCAGTCAATGCACCGTTGTTGTAAGTGTGGTTCTCACTATTCGACTTTACTGTGTTAAGACTGTCGCAGTCAAAAAATGCACCGCCATATACATCTCGTAGTTTGCTGCCTGAACTTAGAGTTATCATAGACAATGATGTGCAGCCTTTGAAAGCAAAAGAACGAATTGTATCAACTGTCTTCGGAATTGTGAGTGAAGTTAGGCTGATACAATCCATAAAATACTTGCTCTCAATAGTAGCAATACCATCATTCAATGTGAGATAATTCAGCAAAGTACAGTTGTTGAAACAAAGTTCTGGAATACTTTCGACAGAGATTTCCACATGGGTGAGTGAGCTTGATTCGAAACATCCAATTCCGACTTTTGAAAGAGTGTGGGAAACGTCGAATGCGCTAAGTCCACTCATTTCGAAACTAGACAATCCAAGAATGCTTAGCGCAGTGTTTTGGAATCTGATATCACTGATGCTGAAACATCTAATGAATGCGTAATCTCCGATGGATGTTATTGATGTTGGCAATTGGAATTCACTGAGCAAGAAACAATTTTTAAAACAATAATTAGGAATTACACTGATTTTGTTTCCTGTGAATGTTACTGTTGTTAATTTATTACAAGATTCAAAACAATTTGTGCCAAGTGTTGTCAAGCTGCTTGGTATTGTAATCTCAACTAAAGTTGAACCAGAAAATGCATTTCCTTTGATTTCTGTCAATGAATTTCCATCAAACGTTAGTTTCTTCAATTTTTTCCCTGAAAATGTTCCTGTTCCAATGATCGTACACTGTGAATGAATTTTAAATGAAGCCTCTGAGTCTTGGCCAAAATGGTCAGTAAGTAATGTATTTCCTTTCGAAAATAGCATGTCATCTACAAATAGAAAGTGATCGTTATGTGATGTATCTATTTTAAGAAAACATTGTTTGAATACAGCTTCACCTAAAGTTGTTAGAGATGCAGGAAATGTTAATTGCTTCAAACTAACACATCTATCGAAAACATAATTTCCTATTGTTGTCAATTTTGGTGTAAAATTAATGCTCTCTAACTTATAACAAATTGAGAAAGCATAGTCATCTATTTTAACAATATTATCACTTAAAACAACTGACTTTAATAATTCACATCCGTAAAACATTGAATGTACTACTTCAGTTGCAGCTGTTGGAAACGTAAAATTTGTTATATTTGTTTGGCCTAAGCAAAATCTTGAAAATGATATCGGAGTTGAAGGGAGAATTATATTTGTTATTGGCACTCCACGAAAGCATGAATCTGAAAGCTTGGTTATTGTTGATGGAATGACAAAAGTACCTGTTAAATTTGGAGAAACACTGTAAATTGTTGCTTTATTATCTGAGAAAATTATCAGTCCTTCTGATTGATATATTGGATTGTTTTCATCGATTTCGATTCTTGACAATTGTTTGCAATTTAAGAATGAAGCAGCGTCTAATGATGTTAAGTATTGTGGAATGAAAATATAAGTTATCATGGAGCTTTCAAAGGCGGCATCTAGTATTCTCTTTAGATTTGATGTTCGTTTTATAATAATTTCACTCAAAGCTGCATGGAAGACGGAACCATCATCAGCGGACCATGCATCAATTGTCTCGACGGTATCTGGTAATGTTATCGAAACTAAATTTGAGTCAGCATAAAAACAACCTGAACAAATTGCAGTAATTTTTGGAGGCATTTTTATACTTTTCAAATTCATGCAATTAGAAAAAAGGGAATTATTTAAGGACAATAGTTGTGTGCATTGTTCCATGTCAACTCTTTCGAGTGATGAATAGGAAAAACACCATTTACAAATATATTGAATTTTACTAGAAACATCAAAACGAATAGATTTGAGTTTACTTCGGCATTCTTTGAAAGGACTAGATAATTGATTAGTTCCACCTGAAATGTCAACAACTGAAGTTGGAATTACAAAATCTCCGCTTAATCCAGCTGGTGCACGTGTTAAACGGCTATAGTCATCTGAAAATTCAACACCTTCTTCATCAAATCGATTACAAATTAAAAAGAAAATTAAACTTATGGAACTAAATTAACTTTCATCAACGAAAAATGAAAATAATACAATATTATGGTTTCAAAAGACAAAGTTGAGATGCGTTCGTTTCAAAATCAATGTGTGATTTATGATTTCAAAAAAATTTCAACCAAAACCGATACCAAAAATTAATTTAGATAGTTTGTTGTAAGGATGTCAATTTGGAAGAAAAGTGAGAAAATTCCTAAAATGCTAAAAATGAATTTTCCAAACGTATTTTTTATCTGATTTTTTTGATTTTGAAAAAAATTTGGAGAGAAGAACTCTTCGTTTTTGAATTTTGTCACGATGGTTTTAAAGTATATTAGACACATGTATTGATATTACTATTTTTGTATATTTTGAGAGAAAATCCCTAAAAAGTGAGAAAATCTGAGACGGTTTGAGAAAATATATAAACTATTGAAAATTTGAATTAAACTTCTAATTTGGAAAAAAGAAGTCTCATCACACTTTTCAATGCTCGATTTTTAAAAACTGTTTAAAAATGGAGCTTATATTGAAATAGTGTAGAGACTAAAAATTACCACAGACTATTTCAGAGGATTGAGCGGCAACTCAATCCTCTGAAAAGTCTGAGGTAATTTGCAAAATTTGGAAAGAAGAAAATTCAAAAATCGAAATTTAGACTCAGTATCAAATGGAGAACAAAATGTTTCTCCATATGAAGGAAAAAATTTTCTTGAGAAGAAATAGAGTTTTTAAAATTTTATTGTATGTAATGAAATAAACAAATATTAAAATTATTTTTTGATAACAAGAAAATTCCCAACAGAAAATATTTGAGACAAAGAAAAAAAGAAAATTGAAAAATATTATTCTCCTTTACATTTCATGAGATTTTCAATTTATTTTCATAAAATTGACAATTTTATACGTTTAGATGAAAATAAGTGATTTTGCTTGAAATAAAAATTATTGTTTGTTTACAGCTATCAAATAGATTTTTGCTATTTTGATTAAAATTTGTTAATCAAATTAATAATTTTTTTTCTAAATATCTTAAATATCTGGATCACTCACTGATACGATGAATTAAACGATAAAAATAATACAAACTCAACTAAGTTTCCTGTCTTTCAACCAAAAAATATTATGCAATTTAAATTAAATTGTTTATTCAAAGATAAAACAAAGATAAAGTAATTATAATTATCATATACTTTATGAATAACTCTCTAATTGGATAAGATTTTCGTACAAATATTTTTATTAATATCGATAAGAATATGTTTACCTACTATCACCATATGTCGACAAACGAGAGTAGAGTGATTTTTATCATCGAAACCTTTTAAAAGCTGTAAGCAGGAAGTAATAATCTTTTTTTTCTGAGTTAGTTGTAGAACTATTGATGCCCGAGTTATCATTGTGATGCAGAAGGATATCAATGTACTGACTGAAGGATATGAATTGAATTGAATTTTATTGAATTTCAATTTGATCAAAATTTGTTGAAATGATATGAATGTGTCAACTTCTGTATCATTCTCCTTCACTCCTTCCTTATTCTTTCGAGAACGAAGCTAGCTCAGCTTTCGCTGAGCGAATTGACACTTTTGATGCCCTAAGCGTACATGCTCTCAAATTTATCGAAAAAATTAATACCACCTAAACTAGTATATTCTTATTTTAAATATGATAGTATCCTTATATTCCACACTAAAATTCATTTAAATCAACTTTTAAAAAAGTTCGAATCCTGCGCGTCTCACTTTTTAAATTTTCCAAATGGAAAATTATATTCTCCTAAAGTGAAAACAATTTTCCAAATTGACTTCCTTACTGAACTGCATTATTATTATGATTTATAGTAAATGGAGTATTATTATTCCATTTTCCATTTTTTAATATCGTTAATATGATGCAAATTTTCGTCATACTTAGTGATGTGATCCAATTATTTCTTCTCAAAGTGAACCTGTAATGCTTCAATACTTAATTTTCTATAATGTGCTTGAAGATGATGATATTAAAGTTCCAAAAATCGCATGTTCCTCACAAAGTAATGGAAATTTAGGAGTTTTAAACTATTATGATCATGATGATCACTATGTTGGTAAAGTAACATCATACTATCGAAAAAGTAGTTCAAACAGTCATCATTGGCATTGGATTGCCGGCTCATTTTGCCCCAAAGTATCTGGATATTATGAAATTAAATCCAAAGCATGGCCCGCTATCTATACCAAGTTTGTCAATCAACACCAGAAAGATAGAGGTGATGAATGTACTGGTTGGAAAGAAAAATCGTTTAATCAATATCTTTATGCAAATAGATGTTATCCATATACAATTGCTGATGAAAATAACTGTGTGACTGATCGTATAGAAGGTTATCTTAATGGAACATTAATTGATAGTACATCTACTACGATTATGGACTGCTATACAGAAGATTGCTTGCCAGGATATTACACAGATACATGTAGTCAATATAATGATGCATACTGTAACGAACATGGCTCTCTTGAATACGGCAGAGAATCAGATGGCCTCGGATGCACTTGTAATAGTTTCTCTGATAATATCTTCTGTGAAGATACATCCCAATATGTATTTCCAGAAGGAAAGAGAGGTGTTGTTTATACATCTTATTATAATGATTCGACAACAGATTCTTATCAAGTTTATGAAGATTTCTCGATGAAAGAATTCTCAGAATCCTATTCAACAATAGAACTAAATTCAATTCTCTATGTTCCTCAAAATACAGATCTACAATTCCAGCTCAAATCTATTCCAAAAGCAGAACTATATATCGATGGTAATCTTGTTGTTGGATCACTTGATGACAGATTTGATTGCGAAGAAAAAGGTGAATCAGTTGTGACAACACCTAGGCAGTATTTCACAAGAGGAAATCACTATATTAAAATTAAATTACTTCCTGGATGCGCTATGTATAATCAATGTATTAGCTTGAAATGGAAATTCTATAGATGGTATAGAAATAATCCTTCAGATTTTGAAGATATACCGGCTAGATATCTAGGATTTAACTAAGAATCTATTTTCTGTTTAAAAATTGTTTTAATACTTTCAATATGTTACTTTTTATCCGAGTTCGAAGTTTTGGATTTATAAGAAATGTTGGTTAATCAATTCCATATTCATTTTTAGGATTTTATTCCCCTGATTTTATGCTAAATTTTAAGTTACTTCCTATACCAACAAGGCCGTCTATTAATGTGGATAATAAGTTTATCATGAAAAGTGGCAACATATATTCCATTTTAGAATCTTCTCAAGGCTGCCCTTGTGCACATTTGACTTCAATTCAAATTTTTGACAACTAGCATGAAATGTCATTAAAAATTAACCTGAAACATCTGAATTGAAGGCCATGTCATTGGGGAATGATTGCACGCTCAAAAAAAATATCTCCCGAAATTAAGGTTTAATAATAAATAACATTTTATTGTATAAATTCATCTTCGCTTATGGATTTTAGAAAAAAATTTATGAAATTCATCTCTTGAATCTGTAGATAATGGAGGTAAAAAAGGGGGTTGGCGTCCTAAGGCGTCCTAGTGTAAATTTCTCAAAATTGTGATATTTACATCACATTTTTGAGAGGTTTATGGGCGTCCTAAGGGAAAATTGAATAGCTAGGGCGTCCCGAATTTTCATTCTAAGATTTAAATATATTATATACTTAAGTATAATACAAGCAATATAAAAATTAAATTTTTATTATGTTAACTTATAAGAAATTTTTTTGAATTATCGTTGATTTATTGTAATCTTTCCAGGCTATACTTTTGAAATCAACTTTACCTGTCATACGCATTAATGTAGTAGATGTCCAGGTGTAGCTATTATATCCCAGCAACATTGGTATTTTATCATTGTAAGATATCAAAATGAAGCGTTTTTTCAGATATAATTTTTCGTAAATTTTTCAAAAATAAGATGGTAAAAAAGCCTCGACTTGCTCGAAAAATAACAATTTTTTTACTTGTAAAAATAACCCTTTTACAGCATGGGCAGCTATTCAATCACTATTTCTTTTTCTAAAAGTATATTTTTCAAAAAAAATTAAGATCAAATTCGACAATTTCTTGATGAAAGCAAAAATATTACACATACTTCTAGATGCATGGGATAAAATATGCAATTATCCAATCAATTCGCATGATTTGAAAAAAAAATCTAAATTTGATAAAAATGTAGAAATTTTTTATTTTTAACTTGAGATTCGATTTTTTTGATCCAATTTGTGAATTTTTTTGATCGGAATTTCAATTAATTTGTTGATCAAAAATGACCTCACAATGTTTGATCATAATTGAAGTCATCTTCATGGGTATTTAGAAATTCCAAGAGAAATTGCTTATTTCTCGCAGATGTAATATCTGAGAAAATCGAATTTAAATATTCATAGAAACCCAAATCATTCTCCGGTTCGAATAATTCATCTGTTGCTTTTTCTGTTTTTTCTATGAATTTTAATAATTTGATTAATAAATCTTCATCAGGAAGAATTATTGCTGCATATGTGATAAAATTCCATATTGAGGTAATATGGCAATAATTACATTTATAAAATGTAATTTTATCCAAAATTTTTTGGCAAATTCGCATAATAGCATTAATATTTGAAGCTGAGATTAAACCTGTGATTACTTCTGTAACTTTTGGAAAATCATCGCAATTTAATATCTCTTTATATTGAATTGAGAAATAAAAAAAAATCAAATGGATTCATTTCTTCAATTTCAAGGAGATTGTAAAAATTGATAGAAGTGTTATTGCAACAAATTGTATTTGCAGCAAAAAATATCATTTGCTCGATTCCATTTTTGGAATAAATTTGCTGGAACAATGTTAAATTAAAACAGTTGCTTAATTTTTCTTCATTGTTTTCATAAAAAAGAGAAAGGGACAGACTAGCCCATTGTCACTTTTTAATTTAGCAAATGAATGCTTATGGAGTGGAGTTTTTGGGTAAATCTGATTTGCTTATAAATGAAATAAAATCAAAAGAAACCATATTGGCATTATATTATGCAAAAATAAATGATCTTACTTAGTACTTTTAAAGTTAATTTCAGAAAAAATTTGACACAATGGTATCCGGCACATACAAGTGGTGTACAACCAAAATATAAGTTGGTTTAAACATATATTGCTATATCTCATGATCTTACTTAGTACTTTTAAAGTTAATTTCAGAAAAAATTTGACACAATGGTATCCGGCACATACAAGTGGTGTACAACCAAAATATAAGTTGGTTTAAACATATATTGCTATATCTCATGATCTTACTTAGTACTTTTAAAGTTAATTTCAGAAAAAATTTGACACAATGGTATCCGGCACATACAAGTGGTGTACAACCAAAATTTCATATCCCTAGTTTTACATTTATGTTTAGTTTTATTTCACCTAATTTTCAAAGATCATAATTGAATTAGATGGCCAAGCTATTCAAAACACGACCAAGCTTATCAAAATAAGACCAATATATTCAAAATTCTTTATTCTTTCAAATCATTTCATTTTAATGCAGATCCAAGATCACGAACTCACATATATCGAGTTGCTTAAGTATGGAGTGCAACAAGAAATCCAAGCAGGTTGTAGTTATTCATATAAAACTAGGAAAGAAAGAAATCAAATCCAATTTAATTGTAAGTGGCCGAATTGTAGTTAGTATGGTTAAGTCGTGTATGGTGGCACTGCGTTTCACCTTAACCAATACTTGTGAATTTGACACTTTACAAAACCGTTAACGTATATTTTACAACACAAACGACAACACTAACTTAACCTTAAATATTTACAAAACCACCACCCACTTCACTAACGAACTCACTAATGTAAAAAATAAACGTTCTCACTATCGTTCTCACTAACAACTTCACTAATGTTCTCATAAATTTTCCTCAATATCTTCATCATCAGTGTTAACCCTATTGTAGTCATACTTGAAGCCATAAACTTTCTCTAACTTCTTAACGTACAATTTACATAACTTACCTTCGTCATCGTATGGTTTAATGATATAACTATTTCTATCTTTATAAACAGTCAATGAAAAGTCAACTGGTCTCGGATGTATTTGAAAGAACATGTTATGCTCAGGAAGGAAGAATAAATGTTTAAATGTATGTTTGTTATATGTTTTGATTTGTATGAGTTGCTTTTGTTCTGTCATTACATCCAAATAAAATAAAAAATAAACTTAAAAAATAAACTTAAAAATAATGATATCACCACCCTCACACGTATGAAAACATAGCACAAAAATAAATTTAGGGTAGAAGGTTAGATCTAACCCGATTTCTAACCTCATTTCTAACCTTGTTGAACTCATTGCTTTATAACTCTCTTCCTTGGTTTCTTTTTAGTTGCTTTCTTCACGTCTGTCTCCAACTTGACTGTCTTTCTTCTTCGGCCGTAATGATACCAGTTACTTCCACCAGTCAATGGGTCAAATGGTCTTTCGTAAGGGTTTCCATACATTCCATAGGGACCATACGGAAGAACTACTGGTGGAGAAGAAACATTTTCTTTAGTTCCATCGACTCTATTTAAATGCATTGTTTCACCTTTCATCTGGTCATTAAAGTCTTTTGCATGTTTTGCAAACTCATCATCCTTTCCTAAAGCATTTTCTGACTCAGTCGCAACCAAATTGGATGCTTTATTTATGAGCCCCATTTTATTTAATCTTAACTTCTTTGCAACCCAGCCTCCAATCTTCCCTTTATTTGCATCTAATGTCTTTGAAACCCTTCCTCCACTCATTTTATTTACTGCGTCATAAGCTCCAAGTGCTTTTGCTCCAAATGCTAATGCTTTTGTTCCCATTGCGCCTAAAGCTGCCCAAGCTACCATTTACCCCATATTAAAATCATCTCTCTTCAATATTATCTCATAAAAGTTCTCGTTACTGGAGAAAGTCAATGAAACATAAACATTCTCACGGGCTTCACCCTCACCGCTTTGCGGTCTATCTAACTTCTTTCTTATCTCATCTATTCGCTTCAAAATGTCTGAACAATTGCTAACATCTTCTACAACAGTTATTTCATCATGAATGACCTTTAAGAACAAGCTCATTTAATATGCAATTAAAATCATCTCAATAATGAGTCCATCCTTTCCATCTTTAGGTAGCACAACATCTTTCATTGAAGAAGGTTCGACAAGTCTTATGTTAAACTTACTGACAAAGTTTGTTATACTATAATGCTTCGGCGGCGAATACATGTAGTTTGAAAGACATAATATAGATTCTTCAGCAAATTCACTTATACTGGATTTTATAACAATGTTCTCACGAGACCAAATACCACCAATTGACAATCTTGTAAGCAATCCTGCTGAACCTTCTACTGTAAACGTCGATGGTAACATTCCACGAAGGTCATCTATTGACATCGTTGAGTCACTGTATTTAAATATTTTCTTAAAGCAATCGTCATTATCTAACCATGCAATAGCTTTGAAGTTTTCATTCGAATATACATCTGCTTCATTAAATGTAAAACCTGACTTCTTTGCAGAGATGACTTTAAAATCTATTGAGTTTGTTTCAAAATTATATGCTATGGTAACTTCTGAAGGTAATGGATGCCCTTCCGCAGTCAGTTGTTCTCTCACTACCGTTTGAAGCTTTGTATTAAAAACTTTCATGTCATCTCCTGTGTCTAAGTTCACATACACAGCAACAGGGAAACTATCTTGCTTCTTTGTTTCATCATTATATCTCAAAACATTAAAGTTCTTCAATAATATTGTTCTTCCTGCTGGAATACTTCGAACCTGTCTGATTTCAATAGCTTTCTCACCTCCTACATACTCTACCCAGTGTCTTGGATATTCATAAGTATACTGACTTTCTTGAATTTTGGTTGGTTTCATCATAACGTGTTCATAGTATATCTTTATACTCTTGTCAGTTAGACTCGGTGCTATGTTCTGAATATTTCTGACTTGCATTTTTAATGGAGATAAAATGAAGCATTTAATACATGACGTAGATGAAGACATGAATGAAACTACAGACAAACTTAACTCTTCTCTTATTCTTCCTTTCAGCAAAGATTATGAATTCTGTTCAAATGGTGTTGTATTTCTATTGTGGAAAGATGGGTTCAGGTAAGACATTTAACCTCATTCGTCATATACTCATAACAGAGCGTTTAGGAAACGACTCTTACTATGACCAAATCATTATATCAGCAACTTCAGACTCTATGGACTCAACAGCGAAAACATTTATGTCAAAAGTTCAAGCCTCTGTCGTTAAAGTTCCAGACAGTGAACTCATTGAATTTCTTCAACGTTACATTCGACGTAAGAGGAAATATTATGCCATCGTTGAATTTATACAGTCAGGAATGCAAAAGACTTCTGAGGAGATGGAAAGAATTATTGACAAACACCACTTACGTCAATACTCAGGAGTTTACGATATGAAACGACTGACAAACTACATTCTATCAAAACTTTCAAAATACCCCTTCAAAAAATATCCTTCAAACACTCTGCTCGTTTGCGACGACTTCGCTGGTAAAGGTTTAGTGTCAAAACCAGACTCACCATTAGCTAACATCATAACTAAAGTCAGACATTACCATTTAACTGTAGCAATACTTATGCAAACATGGAGGTTTTTAGCTTTAAACATAAAACGTCTCATAACTGACTTCGTTATCTTTCAAGGTTTCTCACGCTATGATATTGAACTCATTTGGAAACAGTCAGGTATAACATTACCTTTTGAAGAAATTTGGGAAGCATATAAGTCTCTCATCTCTCCTCGTTCATACCTTGAGATTCATATCATGACTAATACCATTAAAGTCAAAAATATTCCATGGGAACGACCAACATTGTTTTAAAGTTTAACCTTCAATTGACTGATGGTAAACAAATTCCATGCATCTCTGTCGCCATTTCTGTTAATATTTTTGCTGTCATTCATATCATCCACTTCTCCATCTGTTAACTTTTGAGGATATGCGTTAGAATAGCTGTTCTTAAATGAAGGCTTTTCACCTTTGAGAGCATAAACTCTATAACTTTCTGCATACTTTATGTTTGAACCTCCTGAGCCATCATTGACATAAATTTTTATAGGCTTCCACCCTTTGTTCATATTCCTGCTTCTTCCCTTAGCTCTTTTGTTCAGTAGTTCTACATCTTTATACACAGCTCCTGTCTCAGTGAATTCAACAATATTTTCATTCGTTAGCTTTACATTCAAACCCTTGTCGAGTATATTGTTCATTTCATACATATAAAAGGTTTTTATTCTATATGAAATGAGAAGCAAATCCATCTTAGCTGGTGCCGTTAATATTCCAATTGAACCAACATCAAATGTTGACTCACGAACGACAAACAATATTGTCATAAAGAACTATAGTTCAGAGTGTTTGAAAGAACCAGAACCAGAGCTGAAATCCGTGAATTTAAACTCAGCTTCAAACGCTAACGCTACATCAGATGTTAAGTTAGAGTATCCACCACTGGACCAAGTTCTTTCAAGAGAAGCCAACGACAACCCTTACACAAATGTTCAAACAAATCCTTCAGATAACGTAGACCATTACCTTCTTCAGTTATATCAAACAATTTTACTCAAAGACGATAAGAAGCTTTTGACAAATCTTATAAGTAAGAACCAAATAATTCTAACAAAGGAGGACCTTGAAAATGTTATCTCACGAATAACAGGGAAACAATGTGTCATTGACTATCTCGACCCTGAAATCGAATGCTGTGGTCAAACGCCACCATTCATGAAAATAGGTAACATCCGCATCATTGAAACACCAGGAACTACAGGAGTTGAGTTTAAGTATAAATATTCGAACGAGTATACAAAACTTTCAACAGAATATAAACTTTGCTTGAAATATGTTTTAGTAAATTAAAGCAATTTGTAATATCTATCCAAAACTTCTTCAACAGTATCGAACTCATCTTCATAATGCAAACCTAATCTTATTGACTTGGTGCAGTTTTCACTAACACAATATAGCGCTTTGCGCTCGGCGCCTTTGACGCCTTTTTCTGTTCTCTTGACTGACATAACTAACTCATTTGTTTCATCAAACAGCAACAACCAAAGTTCATGACCTAATACATAACATTCATACTTTATCTTTTTAGCTCTGAGTTCTCTTGTAAGCTGTTGCATTTAATATTTTCTAAAAAGTCAACTTCAACAGTCATTCGCACTGGTGCCTTCAGTTCTACAGGCTCTCCTTGAAAGTCAACAAGTCTGAATTGCATGTCTTTCAAATTATGAGGACTAATGCGAACCCATTTACCTAAATGAGTTGCTATGACAGGAACGTTTGGAATGAACATTGAATTGACTGCATAACAGAAGGATTTATATTCTACTGAACCTTTACTATTAACTCCTGAAATGCCTGTGACATTAGCTATTTTAGACTCAATGTATAAACAATTGCCATAACATACGTATGGAACAGATTTCATCTCAATCGTTTTGTCAACACTTTTCAAAGGAAATGTCATATGGTATGCTCCTAAAAGAAGTTGAACTCTATGACTCATTCGTGTTATCTTGAACTCTTTCTTGCTACTGAACTTCAATGTTCCCTCAGAAGAGAGTTCGACATCTATGTTGTCAATAGTTTCTTCATTTATGAGAGTACCTATGACTCCAGCAATTTTATCTATTCTATACTCTGCTCTGTTAGGAAATGTTATAAAACTTCTTTTGTCATCTATTTCAATCTCTATGAAATCTGTTTCATCTGTTATGACAAAAGTTGCGATAGTATTGAAGTCAACAACTCTGAAAGCAAGTGCTTCATTCTGAAGACCTAAGTTTGTTTGTAGCTTTACTGTCCCGTATTCGTTTGGGTCTGTACTTTGCAAATAGAACAACATTTTATTCTCATTAAAATATGACTATTGCTGCATATGCGTATGAAACAAATGAAGCAAGAAGAGCACATGAACTAGTAAACGAAAACTCAACTTTAACCATTGAAGGCAATGATTTAGTCATTGACGATGGAAAAACTAAAAAAGTCATTGATTTCGATACTTTTAACACTTATGACCCATTCATTACAATAAGCAAGGTTCCTATCATAAATGATGGAACGGTGCAATATATAAATTCTACAGTAGATGCCTCATTAGTGAAAGTATTAAATGTTCTCATTGAATTGTTAAAGAGCTTTCGATTTGACGACAACATTAAATGCTTAAAGAATTTAGTCATGAATGAGAAACAAATTCTTGGCGTTGCTGGTAGCAGTAATGATGTACACCTTATGACATTAGAATATTATAACGAACATAAAGATGAACTGAAAGGAGAGAAGGGTGACACCGGACCTCAAGGACCTCAAGGACCACAAGGAATACAAGGAATACAAGGAATACAAGGAATACAAGGACCTCAAGGCGAGAACGGTTTGGATGGTGTAGATGGAAAGGATGGAAAAACTGCTAAATCATGGATATGGAACCTTATAAATACTGGTTTAACAGCTGCTTCATATGGAGTTCTTCAATACCAAATCGGAAAGATATGGGCAGTACTTGGTGAAGAAGTTTTAAATGACGTTAAAAATGCTTTGAACTTCATTTCAAATGGTTCGGATACTATTAAAACTTTATCTGGTTGGATGCAAGAAACAAGGAGTCAAATAGATACTGTAAGACGTATAGCAAACAATGCACGTACGGGATTGGATACTTTACGACAAGCACAAAATACACTAAAGGAAGCAAATGATATTCTTGGCTCAGTATCAGACATGCATGAAGATTGGCTTAAAGGTATTGACAAAATCTTTAAAAAATCACAGTCAGTCTATTGCTGACTACAAGAAAAGTATAGATTTTTTACATAGTGCTATGGACGTACATGATGGAAGCATAAGGAACTTACTTAATGCTAATAATAACTTACCAGGAACTATTAAAGCATTTATAAAGTCCTTTGTAAAACCTGGTGCTCTAACATTTAGGTCTTTGAGAGCAAGAGCATTGAAGTCAAGAGATGCAGAAACTCCAACAGAACCTACAGAAGGAACTGAAACAACAGAAACTCCAGAAGAACCACCAAAACCAACAGCTAATGAAATATTGTTCGAATATTTTCCAAGGTACTCTGTTCTCATTGCATACATTCAAGAAATACTTAAGAAAGCAGACTTGACTTTAGGAGATGATGAAAGTTCTGTATATCTTTCGTTCCAGTTTCAAATAGCAGAACTTTTGAGACAGATATGCTTAATGTATGACAACATCTCTGATTTCACAAGATATGATGACGACCATGACCCCGAACACGGTGAAGAAGAAGTTTTACAAACATCCATTAAGACAGGAAAGGTTTTAACTCAAAGTCTCATTATTGACACCAAAGATGGCGAAGTGGACGTTCTTCAAGAGCTGAAGAAAAATACTTCTTCGGGAGGTGGTGGTAGGCATGAACTTGAAATAAATGAGATAGAAGAGAAATTAGCCGAAAAAGCAGATAAAGAACATAAACACAATATCTCCGATATAAATGAACTTCAAGCTACATTAAATAGTAAAGCGGACAAAAATGAACTTGACGCAATGAACAAAGTTTTGAAATCTCATAAACACAATATCTCCGATATAAATGAACTTCAAGCTACATTAAATAGTAAAGCGGACAAGAACCATGTTCATTATATAACTTCAGACGAACAGATTATAACGGACTACCATGGATATTTAACACGAAGTGATGAAGCGAAGACAAAAAATGTTAATGAAAGAAGATATAAATACATTCGTGCTAAAGGTTATGACATAAGCTGTACTGTACAGTATGATGTAGCTAAAGCACCAGAAGCATTTGGTTATACCGGTGAAATTTATGCCTCTACTTTCAATGTTAACGGTGTATTAGTTGAACCAAGATTTACTTTGAGAGTTAAGGCAAAAATAACGTTTGAAGATGCTATTAAAAGTAAAGCTGACAAAGTTGAACTCGAAGCAATGAACAAAGTTTTGAAATCTCATAAACACAACATCTCCGATATAAATGAACTTCAAGCTACATTAGACAGTAAAGCTGACAAGAACCATACACATAAATCCTTCACTACTGTTAGAGCAGACGACATAATATTGAACTTTGACCTTGGTTCAAGTGCACCATTAGAAAATCCAAGTACAAGCGTAAAAGATACTCTTAACAGTTTAGATAAGAGTTGCAGGAACATTGAAAGTCATACCAGAAACTTTGAAGCACATGAACTACCCGCAATGTTAGATAAGAAAGCAGACAAAACAGAGCTTCAAACATTAAAGACTCAGATTCTTGAAACATTATATCCTATAGGCTCTATTTATACGTCAATGAACTCAACAAATCCAGCAACAGTTTTAGGTTTTGGTAAGTGGGAACAGATTGTAGACAAATTCTTATATTGTACTAAAAGTTCAAAACAAGCCGGAGGTTCAAAGAAAATTACAGAAGCAAACCTTCCACCGCACACTCATACAGGAACTACAAACTTTTCTGGCGACCATAGCCACTCATTAAGAGACCACCCATTATACAACTCAGAGTATGAAGCTGGCAATGATGTTTTATCTCCATCTTATAACAATGCAGCAAAAAAGACTTTTCGACAAACTGAACCAGGAGGAAATCATGTCCATACTTTCACAACAAATCCAACAGGCTCGGGTGCAGATTATATGCCACCATTTATGACTGTATTTGCATGGAATAGAGTTCAATGAACGCGCTTGAGCCTAGAATAAAATCTTTAACTTTACATAAATGAGCTTGAAAGAAGTATTCGAACAACATCCATGGAGGTCATTTAAGAAGTTCAATGAAGCTGCAAAGAGTTGGGGATTTACTAACAGAGCTGAAGTGAAAAGGTTCTTTGACAAAAATGTTGTACATCAAACAAAAATAAACCCTTACGACTACTTTTTACCAATTTACTCCAACGCTCCTGACGCATACCAATTTGACACTCTCATTCAAAGCAGAAAAGGAGGACATAAACCATTCCTCATCTTCATAAATGTTAACACTCGTAAAGCATATGCATATCCAATGAAAAATAAAGGAACTCGTGAAGTGTTAAGAGTTTTACAAAAGTTTGTAGCAGAACATAACCCAAGTACTTTAACATCAGACCAAGACAGTGCATACCTCAGCAATGAAATCACAGATTTTCTCATTAAGCATAACATAACTCACTACACTACTGAAGACCATAACCATAACATACTCGGTATCATAAACCGCTTCATAAGGACGCTCAGAGATTTAAACCAAGAGCGAGACTTTACCGAAGAAACAATGAAACATTTTCTCGAAGTATATAATTCCTCAACACATTCTACAACAGGACATACACCAAATTCAATGACACAACAACAAGAAGAAAAGTATATACAAAAGAAACGAAGCCAAACACAAAATATCAGAAATTCAACACAATTTACCCTCATTCCTGGAACAAAAGTTCGTGTAGTTCTTGACGACAAACCGTTGACAAAGAAACGTTTAAGGTTAAGTAGAAACTATTATATCGTAGACTCTACGCAAGGTAATGGATATCTTATAAAAGCTGCTGACGACTCTATTGCGTTTTATCCTCGTCATAAATTAGTTGAAAGTAGTAATGGCAAACTTGCTGAAACCATTGACGAAGCAAAGCGAGGAGTGGTTATTGAAATACTTGACTACAACATAAACGATGACACTTATAAAGTAAGATATGAAGGAGGTGTTGAAGATGTTATACCATCTAAGAACTTGAGAGAGTCAAAGCCAACACATCTGGGACCATTAGAGCGGGAGTACTGGAAAGACAAAAATATGCCAGAAAGAATAAGAAAATTCTTCTAAACTTTTTCATTAGATGTAAATCAGACAAAAATATAATTTAGGGTAGAAGGTTAGATCTAACCTGTTTTCTAACCTCTTTTCTACCCTCTTGAATTTTCATGAATTTCCTTAAGACAGAAAAAATAAAGTTAGTTTTATTTTTATTTATTTTTTTATTTTGTATGTAAGAACAGAAATGTCAGTCGAAGCAAAAACATTCACGAACAAATCTAATGGCGAAACATTCACAAAAGGCACTTATAACGGTATTGAAGTCTTACGTAGAGACAAGGATGGTTACATTAATGCAACAAAGATGTGCCAACAGTTTAGGAAAGACTTTAGAAAGTTGTTGGAAAATAAGTCCTGGGAAGAGTATTATAAGGCATTTTGTGAAGAATATAGCAACCGTCGGAATTCCGGCGGTTGGTTTTTATACAAAATTCATGCAGGAATTCCTGATGAAATCAAACAGGTTAGAGGAACGTATGTAGACCCAAGACTTATAAACTATATAGCAATGTGGGCTTCTCCAAAATATTGTATAGCAGTTGGAAAAATTATGGACTCCATAGACAAGAAAGTTCATGAGAAATTAGATGAAGAAGAACTCGAAGATACAGTAGAGAATGCTAAACATTTGTTTGAAGAAGAAGTTAGAAAAATGCATGAAAAACAATTAGAACATGAACGTGAGATATGTTATGGTTATAGAGATTCTCCATACGAACTAGACCAATGGGAACAAGAAGATTTAAAGAGAGAATTTAGAGAATATGAACTCGCTAAGATAGCATTTGAAGCTGCAGAAAAGAAGTTAAAAGTTTGGGGTCGTTTTGTACAAAAATATTGTGAGTAAATGAACCATTTATTTTTATTGAATTCACCAAAAATATAATTTAGGGTAGAAGGTTAGATCTAACCTCTTTTCTAACCTCTTTTCTACCCTCTTGAATTTTCATGAATTTTCCCGAAATAAAAAATAAAGTTAGTTTTATTTTTATTTATTTTTTTATTTTGTATAAAAGATATGATTTCAACAATCGGCACAACAACACTTCAAGCCGCGAACGGCGGGACTCTGTCCACAACAACAGCACCAAACTCTTTAGTCATGAATCCAACATCTATGTTAGTAGAGATGAAAAGCTTCATTCCTTCTTCATATACTTTCGAAACAAAAATCCAGAAGATAAAGCAAGAACTTTTAACAAGTAATTTAGACTGTAGTGCGAAAGATGAAACAAATGAACAGTATCTTTATGAAATGCAGGACATTATTGACCATTTACCTAAACTACCTGAAATTCAGCATCAAAAACTAACTATTCCTGAATTCGACGAAATTGAAGTTAAAGTTACTGACTCAGTAGAAATAAAGAAGTTCATACGTAAAGTAAATTATGAATTCCTTGGTTTTCATTGCAACCATAAAGTTATGGACAAAGATTGCGACATGTTATATAAGAACATCTCTGACATATATAAATCTGAAGAATTTAAGACCTACGACAACTTTGTTTCGTTAGTTGCTGAATGTGTATGGCAGATAAGAGATAAAGATAAAAGATGTAAAATATGGAATGAACAAATAAGACCCGCTATGTTTGAGATGAAGAGAGCAATTGACGCCTTGGTTGTTTTAGCAGGTAAGGTTTCAGAATATAACGCAAAAATGAACCCGCAATGTTCTAAATGTAAAGCAGCAATGAGGAGATATAACTACTCCGTCAAAGAGATAGAAAGAATGAGAAACGACTATGCAGATTTAAAGAAAGAAGCAGAAAAGCCAGCAGAAAATAAAATGGACATGTTAGAATTTCTGAACAAAAACTATCCAACTGCTGACGATTTCCTTCTATCTGACGTCAAGAAGAAGTATAAAGAAACCTTCGGCATTGTTAAAACATTCGATGTACTAAAAGAAGAAATAGAAGCCACAAAACTGTTTAGAGTCTCACGAATTCATAACGTTTACCATGTAAAACGCTTATAAAATAACTGGGGTAGAAAAGAGGTTAGAAAACAGGTTAGATCTAACCTTCTACCCTAAACATTATTTTTGCTGAAAAATGACCAAAATTCTGAGTAAAATAATTTTTAGGGCATGTGTCAAACCGTTGAGTTTTCACAAAATTCCAAAAATAACGTTTACCATGTAAAACGCTTATAAAATAACTGGGGTAGAAAAGAGGTTAGAAAACAGGTTAGATCTAACCTTCTACCCTAAAATATATTTTTGCTGAATTCAGCACAAAAATCTGAGTAAAATGGCATAAGATTGCTTCCCTCGGAAACAGTGAAGAACAGCGAGTACGTAGCCTGTCGACATAAGATTTTATAAATTGCATATTTGACGTAAATTTATTTCCATCTAGCTTCCCACCGCATAAGATATTCATACGTGTTTGTAAGACATTCATTAAAATTCTTTTCTATTGCATCTAATCTTGCGTTATTTTTTTCAATAGCTTGTCTGTATTCTTCATCATCTCCAGCAGTGTTTGGGTCTTCACGTTTAAAATATTCATTGTTAACCAATTTTTTATCTACAAATTTTATTAGTGTTTGATTCACTTCGTTATGATAACGGTCATATTCTTTCAATACGTAAGTGAAGACAAAATGCGTCGTACCTTCAATCTTAAAGCTTAAAGAACTTTCAACACAGTTTTGAGGGTCTGTCAGTGCGTCAATGAGATAGTATTCGAAGTCAGTCAATAATCTTTTTAAAGTCATTTCATACAGGATAAAATTTAATGTTGTGAAGAAATAGTGTTTATCTCAGAAAAAATAACGCTAATTTTATTTTTATTTATTTTTTTATTTTGTCTGTAAAGACAGATATGACAACATCAGAGAGCACAACAACTGCTATCGTTCATGAAGCTATAAATGAAGAATACGAGTACATACAATATAACAAACAGTTACGTCTCATTCGTTCAGTCAAAGATGACATGTACCAAATGCAAAGTATTTTGACAGCATGTTATGCTCCAGATACTAAACTTCCTAAAGACTGGTTTAGGAACCAAAGCACTATTGAACTATTAAATGAAGCACAGCGAGACATACTTTTTTCTGAAAACAGTGAAGAACAGCGAGTAGGTAAAAAACCCCAGTCGCCAAAACTCTATGAAAATCGTGAAAAATTGCCAAACGGTTTGAGAGGATATTATGTTCATAGACTTCTCGTAAATGCTGTAGCAATGTGGGCTTCGCCTCGTTATGCTTGGAATATTTACAGACTTCTTGACGAAATTCACAGACAAGAACGTGAAGATATGGAAAAGAAACTTCATGCAAAAGATGAAGTCATTGAATCCAAAGACAAAAGCATACAGAAAAGAATACCGCGTTCAGTACCAAAAGGAAAGGAAAAGAGTTATAAGTATATGATATATACTGAAGAGATGGAAAATGAAGAAGACAGAGATACGGTTATGTTGCATTTAGTCAGAAGAAACAACAAAAGCTTTTATGACCTTGCTAAGATTTACAAATCTGACAGAAACTGGTTCTATCGTGAAAACTTACCGATTTCAATGACACCGAATGAGCAAATAAAGGAAATTGTCAAAAATACTCTTCCTCAAACACACTATGACATCAAAGGTTGCACAATACTTACATTCAAAGAAGACTTACCATTGTTAAAGGAAAAAATAACAGAGTATTTCGATAACTTCAAAGAGGAAGAATGAAAATCTAAGCTAATTTTATTTTTTTTATAAAATTTTATCTCATATGAAAGAACATGAATTTAGAATATTCGGAACTCATGACAGAAGAGGAGAACGAACAGCATGTAAAAGATTATGCAAAATTTATGAAGACATAAAAAGCATTTAAAACAATATCTAAATGCTTCTAAAGATTATGCAAAATTTCTGAAGGTATATAAAGCTTATGAAAAAGCGTATGAAAAGTTTATACATTGGGGAATTGTTGTAAAATATCGATATGAAGACTAACCAAAAATATATTTTTGCTTAAATAGCTTCAGGGTCTATTTCTTCAACCATTTCACTTCCTTCGTCAATGTCAATAGAAGCTTCTTCAACCTTTGGTAAGAATTTCTGTATAACATCTTTGTTCGTTATTGTCTTCAGAGATGAAGGATAATATTTCACAGATGTTTCACCCTTCTTATATTCTTTCTGTTCGGAAAGATTCATAGCAATACTGAAGAAGTCAATGTTAGAGTTCTTTATGACAGTATAATGAGTATCTTTGACATTCACGAAGAAACTCTTTTGTTTCAAAACTACTGCTAACTCTTGTGAAGTATAACGTTTGCGGTCAATGACAATAGCTAATGGTCTGACATACTGACCAAACTTAGATTCTTTCACAAACTTCTTGTTAAAGATAACATTAACGTTTGAAGCACCATTGAACTCATTCTTGATGGCATTAGCGAGAGCATTGTATGAAAAGAACTTGCAATCTTGCATGTGTTTCATTATAATAAAAATATTAAATTATTTTGAAAATAACTTAAAAAAAATCTAATCTAATTTTTTCAAAAATATTTTTTTTATTTCTACTAAAGATGTATCGGAAGTTGTCTAAGTTAGAACACTCGGAAATAAAACAACTTCTTACAGAAGCTAACATAGATGTTGCAAAGCATTACGCAACAAACAAAAAAGCACTCGCTGACTTCATTAAAGACTATAATGGTGCAATAAGTTATGATAGAATTCATGAGTTCATAAAGCCGCAACGCGGCGAGGACGAAGTCCATGCAATAGCATTTCCTTTAAATGACGTTGCTATTGACTTATATCATAGACGTTCAGTACCTCATGAAGTAAGAAGAGAGATGTTTGACATAACAAATGCAAACGTTGGTGAAACAAGAAGAAGAGACGACACACTGAAACAACAGAGAAGAGAGATGTTTAAAAGTGCTATAGAACAAGTTCGCAAAGCTAACGATGTCATTCGTTCCATTGACGACAAACCAAAAGAAGGTGAGAGATGGTTAAAGAAAGATGAAGAGAATAGGAAGAGAAATGTGAAGTCAGGCAATAGACTCATTGACTTTAACATCGAAGCTTTAGATGAACCAAACAGAGACTACTTACACAAACATTTCGGTAAGGTTTTCATGAGACTCTTAGAGAAAATTAAAATAAACTCACAACAAAGATGGATGGTATGTTATAAACTTGGTGGAAAGTATGAATGTTCTACGTTAAACCTCAATAATATTGGAACACTACTACATCAGCTCTTGAAGGAGAACTTTATATCAGAGATAGAAGCAAATGCTGCAGGTATTGTTGAAATGCACTATGACTTCTTCTTGACAAACATAAAGAATCTTACCGAAATAAAGATGTATGATTTAACAGAATATGAAGGCTTAACGATGTCAGATGTAAAGAAAGGCAAACCAAAAAAGAGACCATATAGAGATGAAAGCACACTGACAAATGACCAGAAAGCCATTTTGGAAGCTCTTAAGCAAACAGGAAACCCAGCACTTATAGAAAGCTTTTGGAAAGATAATGGTGAAAAGAAGTTTTATAAGAAGAGAAGCGGTCAGTTCTGGAAGTATCTTTGCACATTACCTATAAATCTTGAACGCTACCAAATCTTCAATGAACTGAACAAAAGAACTGCAACACTTATGACAGAAGATAACTGCTTCGTTTATGCTTGCATTCAGGCTGGAGTAAATGGAGAGACTATTGACCACATGAGAGAAGTCATTCGTGTTAGAGACTTTCCTCAAAGTAAAGTACAAGAAATTTCTGACGCAACAGGTATAGCATTTAATGTTACCATTGGTTATTTCAATGACTCAAGACATAATGAAATAAAGAGATACATACCAAAAGAATGTGAAACTGTTCGAACTATTGACTTACTTCTTGTTGAAGACCACTACATGCTAAACGAAAGATTACCAATGACAACATATTTCATTCGCAACTATATAGAAATCTTGAAGGAGTGTGGTGGAATGAACATTGAAAAACAGAAGAAAATATATACAATGAGAGATGGTAAATACATTGTTCGCATGGATAGAACTACACCGCTATGGGATGTTATGAAAACATTGTGGGAGTGCAAATATTTCGAACCTATTTCTTATGGAGAACTTTTCACATATACGACTGACTTATATAAACAGAACCTTGCACCATTTAAAGATTTGACATATGCTCCAAAGTATTGTGTACAACTGAAGAAGAAAGCAGAGTCAAAAGAAGTAAATAAAAATAAGTGCAAGTTCATTCCTGAGCATGTTTTCTTTGCTGACTTTGAGTGTAGTACCGATGGCTTTCATAAAGCTTTTAACATATGTTACGACAATGAAGATGGTTCAGTGAGTGAAAGCATTTGGGGTCAGAACTGTGCAACAGAATTTTTGGAACGACTTCCTGACAAGAGTTTAATATATTTCCATAACCTCAGTTATGATATAAACTTCATCTTAAGACACATGACAGAAGTGAAAGGAACTCCCATCATTAAAGGTTCACGAACAATGCAAGTAACTGGCTTATATAAAGGAAGGGCAATTATTATAAAAGACTCTTACAGTGTTATAAATAAGAAGCTTAAACTATTTCCTGCTATGTTTAACTTACAAACAGGACCGAAAGAAGTATTTCCATACAACTACTACAGCAGTGTTTTGTTAGCAAATGACAACAGAACTGGTGTCATTTCTGAAGCGTGTAAGTTTATCAGGGATGCAGATACGTTCATGAAGAACATAGATTCCATCAAAGGTTGCAGAATAGATAAGAACCACTTCGACTTAGAAAAATATAGCTCATTTTATTGCAAACAAGATGTAAGAATTTTAAGAGAAGGTTTTGTTAAGTTCCGCAATGACATATTGAAAGAATTTGATTTAAACGTTTATGACTACGTTAGTATTTGTTCTATTGCTAACAAATTGTTTGAGAACAGAGTATACTTCCCGAATGGAAATTTATATGACCTCTCAAATAAACCAAGAGAATTTATTTCACGCTGTATTCAAGGTGGAAGATGTATGTTGTCAGATAACATTAAACAAAAGAGCGAAAAGAAACTCATTGCTGACTTCGACGCTGTTTCATTATATCCATCCGCTATAGCAAGATTGTATACTTTAGAAGGTATTCCAAAGGTTATGAAGAAAGAAATGTTAAGCACAGAGTATCTCATGAGACATTTATTCGATGACGACCAAAAGGAACCCATTGGTGAAAAGTTTATGTCTGGCTTCTTTGTTCTCATTAAGATAACAGAGATTGGAATACATAGACACTTTCCTTTAATAGTTTGTGACCCTGAACTAAATCCAGAACTTAACGTTCCCAGAAGTTCAAACACTTGCTGTCTCATGTATGTTGACCATATAACATTACAAGACCTCATAAAATATCAAGGTGTCAAATGTGAAGTGTTGCAAGGATACTATTACGATGGAAACAGAGATATTAGAATAAGAGATGAAGTAAAGAAGTTGTTTGAGTTAAGGTTAAAGTATAAGAAAGAAGGAAATCCTTTGCAAGAAAATATAAAGCTCATTCTGAACAGTATTTATGGCAAAACTATTCTATCTCCTATTGAGTCAAAAATAACCATAGTAAATGACAAAGATGCTATAAGATATGCCATCAGAAACTACAACCATATAGTGAAGTTCGAAGGTTTGGATGGTTCAGATAAAACTATTTTCAAGCTAACGAAAAGCATTTGCAGACACTTTACCTTCTGTCCACTTGGTGTTAACATTCTGTCAATGTCGAAGAGAATAATGTGTGAAGTATTCTGTACTGCTGAGGACTTAGGAATGGACATCTTTTATAGCGACACCGACAGTATGCATCTCTACAATGAAGATATCCCTCGTTTAGCTGAAGAGTTTGAGAAACGTTATGGAAGAGTTCTCATTGGTAAAAACCTTGGTCAATTTCATAGCGACTTTGCAGAAATCACACCTGGAAAACAAAGTTTAGCATACAAGTCAATATTTTGTGGAAAGAAGACTTACATAGACTTACTCACGAACGATTTAAATGAAGTTGCATTTCACTGCAGAATGAAAGGCGTGAAGCAAGATGTTATTGCTTTAACCGCTAATGAAATGTTTCCTGACTCTGTTCAGTGTTTCTATGATGAAGATAAAGGTTTAATGATTCCGCAAGGAAAATTTGACAAAGACTCTGAGTTCAGTGTTATGAAACTTTACAAAGCACTTCATGATGGTCAAGAGATTGGATTTGACTTATGTAAGTCTTCTTGTCCTTGCTTTGCTGAAAAGTTTAACTTTTCTATTCAGACTAAGACTTCATTCATAAGAAAGCTTAAGTTCTGAGGTCATGAATGAGAAAAATAATAAGGTCATTTATTTTTGTCAGCAATGAGGTCATTCGTGATAAAAATAAGCCGCTAGCGGCAAGGGCGAAGCCCATGAGGTCATTTACAATACTGCGATGGTAGAGTTTAAGAGTTGTGCTTCAATGTAGAGACAGTCCTTATGGTCTGGAGGTAAGAACACTGGGCAGTTATGGTCATGAGTGGAGAACATGTCTATCCAAAACTCACGATTGAAGCCAGTTAATTTATAGTATTTAGGGTTAGGAAGTGGTGAAGTTCTTGTATGACCAATGAACTCATTTTCAACTCCCTTACTTAAGTTTGAATATAATATAGCTTGCTTTCTATCCCAAATGCCAGGTGTTACAATCTTTGAAAATTCATTTTTCCTCGGAAGCATTGCATCATAATTGAAAACATTCTTGAAATCATCACTTGGTTCAGAGATTTGAAATCTTATACGTAATGGATTTTCTTTCTCTTTAGCGACTTCATTGAATGGTGAGAATACAACAAACTGACAGTCATGTGTTCCATCTTCATTTTCATTAAATTCATAATGAAAGTCTATAAGTTGTGGCTGACTACCTTCTTCTTTCAGTTGTGCAAGAAACTCACGTAAAGGCTGTAAAGTTTGTACTTCAATGTTGAACTTTTTCTCGAACATCTCATTAAATGAAATCATACATTGCAACAATGTTGTATCGTCTTTAAAGTATTTGTATATGTGAATGTTTTGGGCGCTTAAAGACTGTTCGTCATTTTCTATCTCGACTTGAAGTATAAAGTCAACCTTTCTGAAAGCACGTGTTATATACATAGATGTTATGCCAATGTACTTCTCTTCATTTATGTTCACAATCCAGTCTGTTGGAAACTTAAACGTTACTCTGTTCCCCTTTATTTTGACGTCAGGGTTTTCACTACTGAACGCAACAGTTAAAGGTATTTGTCTATACATTTAGTTCCAATAAAAATAAACCATTTACTCTTTCTTCACTTCAGCTTCTTTAGCTTTTGCTTCAGCTTCTTCTCTAGCTTTCTTCGCCAGCAAACGTGGGTTCTTTTGTCTTCCAGCAGCTAATGCAGCTAGTTGTTTTTCACTAAGTTTTCTCTTTGGTCTCTCTGGCTTTTGTTCTTGTTTTTGTTCCTTCAGTTCGGATAAAATTTGCTCACTAATTTCTTTCTTCAATGCTTCAACATCTATGACCCCTTGGGTCTTGTCCGTAGGGCTTGTCTGAGTCATTTGACTGCAGATAAAAAACAAAATTAAAACTTTAACCGATGTAAAATGAGCTTGTCAAAATCAGAGCGAGAGTCTATTATATTAAATGACGCAAGAGGAATACAACATCCTTTCTATTACGTAAGTCAGAGTAAAGATGGTAAAATATACGTAAGAAAAAGAAAGGTTCCATTAGCGAATGCAGAAAGCGACAACATTAAGGTGTATGGCACTGAGGGCGAAACCCATGTTAAGCCTTCTATTCAAACTGAAAAGTCAATAGAACCAGAAGAAAAGAAGCCAGATGTACTTTCAATAACAAACCAAGAGCTTATTGCAAAGTTCGTGAATTTCATTGAAAAACAAACCGAGTCAAAGAACCCTGACCCACCAGTGAAAGAAGTTGAGACAAAAGAGAATGTACAGTTCATTGAAAATGTCAAGAAACAACTTCCACCACGAATGCCAAGAAGAAGAGTGAGAATAATGAAGTAAATAGATATTTTTATCCGAAGTAAATACATGCAGAACGAACAGTTAAACGAATTTACTCCAGCAGAGCATATTCATCAGATTCGCTCATATTTCGATATCATAGACAATGAAGTTCAAATTGGTGACACTAATAGAAAATATTCTGACGCAAAGATTCCATCACAACCTGGAACTGCTAAAGATAACACATGGGTAACATTCAATCTCTCACCTCCTGGTGAAAATATGTTGGACCTTTACAATACATTCATTACGTATAAAATGGAAGGTCAATTTATTGTAGATAAAGAAATTGGTTCAGGTTCCAATAAAACAAACCCACCAGGATTTTGGATTGGTTTCGATGACGCTTTCTATGCAGTTGCTGGATATCAAATCCTTGCAAATGGTCGTATCGTATATTCTCAAGACAACGCAAGAGAAGAAGCATATATAACTTCAAACTCACAAACTACCGAACAAATAAAGAAAGTAGATGTTTTCTCAAAGACTCGACATGAAGATGTATGGAGTCATTCGGGAACATGCAGAACAGGACAAATTGTTAGTGGTCCAATTACAGCAGGAAAATCATTTGATTTTAAGCTTCGTTTACGAATTCCTGTTAGAAGATTCCTTCCATTAGAAGCTATTCGATTTATTCCAGCTTTTGCAGGAAACATTCAGCTTAAAGTAAAGTTCAGTAGCGACGCCTTACAATGCACATCTATATCTGTAAATGATATCATTGCTTTCAATCCAACTCTTAAAGTTGCATTTGCTTCAGATTCAAATCCACCGACAAATAAATTTGTTCCATGGAATGAACCATTCACTATGATAACGAAGGCAGTAGAAGCTAGTGGAACAGTTACTATTACAACTGTAACCCAGCAACTATTTCGAACAAAGATGGATTTTAATGAATGTTTCATTCATCCAAAGTCATTCTCTTTAGACCCTAACATTTATACAGAACTTGTAGAACATTATACAAACGAGGCTTTATGTTTTCCTGTTAAAGTTATGGATTGGATTCCTATGGACGGTTCATTCTCAAAGAATACAGATAGTTCAAGTGCAACATTTACAGCAGCTTATACGCCTATTAATGTTAAAAGTATTTGGGCACTATTTAGAAAGAAAGACAACTATTATGTTAATTTTGAGAACCCTAAGTTTAAATATCTTCAGCTTTCCATGGGAGCTTATGGAAATATGCCTGCAGAACCTGAAAAATCATATGGACCTGTATTTTATGAAATGGTTGCGAACGCTTGCAATACAAACAATGATATGATAGGATTTAATGAAGATGTTATGAGGTCATTGGTGGATGATGGTAGTGTGGAACATAAATGGGATAGCTATGACAACACACATTTCTTATGTGGTTTTCCAACAGAAGTGGACTTTTGCTTCCAGCAAGGTCAAACATCTACTGCTCCAATAACATACAAATTGTCTGTTAAAGGACCTATTGAACTAGCAACTGAAAATGTACCAAAGCCACTTATTGGATTTATGAGGGATTGTTGCTTTGCCATTCAGGTGCGTGCTAATGGAATCCCAATAATAAGATTAGATGACTATAACTTAGCTACGGACGACAGTGAAGAATAAAGGATGAACGTTTATTTTTAAAGCTTATAAATGAGTTCTTCATCAAGCTCTCGTGAACCTTCACCATCTATGAAACAAACTTTACCAAACGATTATGGAGCACCTATTGAATATTTCTTACGAGCTGCACAATGGCAAAGAGCAGTCTCACCAAGGTTAGGTGTTCCACCAGCTCCTGTCAAAAATAGCATTTGGTCAAGTCCTTATATAAAATATGGTCTCCCACTAGGTTTGCTAGCTACAGCAGGAGCAGTTATGATGTTGAAAAGAAATAAAGCAAATGTTGTAAATAATACTGAAGTAGCTGAAGTTAAACAAACTCCACCTTCGCCAAAACCAACGCCTTCACAAGCAAAACCTTCAATGACTCCTGAACCTATGAAAGTACAAACTCCTGTTCAAAAGTCAACTCCTAAACCGACTCCAACATTTAAACCAGAACCTACTCCTCAAATAAATCGTAAAACACCTGCGTTTCCTTACTGAAAAAATAACGTTATTTTTATTTAATATTAAAATTTTTATTTGATTGAAATGACAAATAAAGTCACTGAAGCAATGAAACAAAAGTTTTTGGTAGAATACATTAAATCAGGAGCGGTTCCAGAAGGTTTTTACGTTCATACTATGAAGGATGGTAGAGTTCAGTTTAGAAAGATAAAGCAACCATTAGATAAAGAAGGAATTTTGAGAAAGATTAAACTTCATGAGGACAACATTGCTGAACTTAAGAAGAAGTTAGAAGAGTTGGAGAAAGGAAGAGAGTTATAAAGCAATGAATTCAACAAGGTTAGAAATGAGGTTAGAAATCGGGTTAGATCTAACCTTCTACCCTAAATTTATTTTTGTGCTATGTTTTCATACGTGTGAGGGTGGTGATATCATTATTTTTAAGTTTATTTTTTAAGTTTATTTTTTATTTTATTTGGATGTAATGACAGAACAAAAGCAACTCATACAAATCAAAACATATAACAAACATACATTTAAACATTTATTCTTCCTTCCTGAGCATAACATGTTCTTTCAAATACATCCGAGACCAGTTGACTTTTCATTGACTGTTTATAAAGATAGAAATAGTTATATCATTAAACCATACGATGACGAAGGTAAGTTATGTAAATTGTACGTTAAGAAGTTAGAGAAAGTTTATGGCTTCAAGTATGACTACAATAGGGTTAACACTGATGATGAAGATATTGAGGAAAATTTATGAGAACATTAGTGAAGTTGTTAGTGAGAACGATAGTGAGAACGTTTATTTTTTACATTAGTGAGTTCGTTAGTGAAGTGGGTGGTGGTTTTGTAAATATTTAAGGTTAAGTTAGTGTTGTCGTTTGTGTTGTAAAATATACGTTAACGGTTTTGTAAAGTGTCAAATTCACAAGTATTGGTTAAGGTGAAACGCAGTGCCACCATACACGACTTAACCATACTAACTATTGTCCATGTCGATTCCTTGTTGATACACTTCCCGATGACAAGTACCACATACGAAAATGTATTAACACCCACAATCATTCTGCCCCTTTTCCAAACAAATCACAACAAATTACATCATATTTTTATAGATCTTATTTAACAAGATATTTTGAATCAAATCAAGACCGTGTTTACGCACAATTAAGGTGTTTAAAAGATCTTAATATCCCATTTGATAGTGGGATCATTCCGGAAATGTTTCAACAATCTACAGATGCTTTAAAAAAGTTTTCTAAACGCCTTCATGCAATCAATACCCGTTTCTCAGCGGATGATGTTACATCTCTTGCAATTTTTGTCGACATGGTTAAGAGTCATTCTCCGGATGATCTCATCGAGTTTATTCACGAGCCAGATCGTATGATTTTCTATTACGCCCCATTCGAAGCAAATGCTTTTTCACATCAAATACAAACTTATCACATTGATTCCACTTATAAGCTCTTGCGCTCTCGCATACCATTTTATGCCGTCACAGGCAAATTCGCGGAATCAATTGTTTTTCCGTTTTTGTATTTTTTCGTTTGGCCCGACACAAGTGAAAATATACAAGTTTGTCTCACAGCATATTTTGGCTCCATCAATCGCGAACCATCTTATTTTTCAATGGACTGCGCACCTCAAATCACAAATGCTGTTGAAACAGCCATCCCCTTATGCCAGATCATTTGGTGTGGCGTTCATGTGTTGCGCGCTGTCATGAGAAAGGCTGAAAAGTTTCAAGATTGTTCCAACTTCGAAACTTTCTATAACTTAATGAAGTTATTGGTCTTTGGTTCTGAAGAGGAAGAAATTGATCCTGATGAAGTTTACAACAATTTAGAAGAAATTTTAAATGAGGAACCTGCTGCCCGTGAATATTTTGACCGACAGTGGCGCCATCATCTTGACAGGTGGATGCTTCGCTATAGAAATGAAGGAGATGGAACAAACAACATCTCGGAATCACATTTCAAGGTTTTGAAGCACCAGTACTTCCCAGAAAGGCGAAATCTTCGACTCGATGAACTTGTCATCGAGTTATATTCCAGTGTTGTTCCTTCATTCCTGATTAAGTTGCAAATTAAAGGTCTGGATTCAGAGAGAAGTGTTAAAGTTATCAAAAAAGTCACAAGAGATTTCGAAGAAATGACACAATTTAAAAAAGTCGAATGCATCAGTATGCTTGAAGCTGTTCAGAAAGGTCTGAAAAATGATACACTTGATCCCAACATTGTTTACTCAACATTAAAAATATTATTGCAAAGAAAACATTTGATTTAATAAACATTTAATTTATTATAATTAATTTTTTATTACAGTATAGTAAAAAATGCTATAAATAAATTATTATATTTTATTAAAATGTGACTTTTAATAGTAAGTGAATAAAATAAATCAGGAATTGGGAAAGAAATAAGGTTAATTAAAAATAATGAAAATTACAAGTTTAAGGTTAATGAAAAGTGACAATGGGCGAGTTTGTCCCCCACTCTCAGAAAAAAGTAACAAGTTTGCAACTGAAATTTCAAAATTTTGATAATTGCCAGTTATTTCAGTAAATATATATATTTGCTTTTCTTCATCTAAAAATGGCAAATATTGATTTGCAATATTAACTAAAGTTTGGGATAAATTGTTCCAGTTTGATTTTACAATTTGTGAGCACATTATGTAATATGTAAATTTATCCGCTTTGTAGGAATTTAAAATTGTTTGTTGTTCTGTTTCAGTTAAATTACTGAATTTTTCAAGATTAATATTGTGATAAAAAATAGAATCCTTGAAATATTCTGATATCTTTTCAATGTTTAAAACGGATGCTAAAAAATGTAAAAGAACTTCATCAGTCACTGTGATTTTTTTGAAAAATTTATCCCAATTCAAGCATCCAATTGATCTTTCTGTCATTGTAGTTATGCATTGATAAAGTTGATTTAATGAATCCGAAGAATAATCATTATGCTTGACTAGTTGAGTTAGTTGATACAGACTGTCTTCAGCCATTTTAAAAAAATGAATAAAATTGTATAGTAAATTATATTTGTGAAATTTGTGACGCTACATTCAATCTAAGACCAATATCTCAAAGAATTACTCATTTAAGTATTACTTTTCATTGTTTTTTTAAAAAATATCTTTGCTTATTTGTTCACTTTTTTGACATTTATTATATGCTTTTTATCATATTTCCGATGATATGAATATATATTCTATATAAGAATGACGCTACATTCAATCTAAGACCAATATCTCAAAGAATTACTCATTTAAGTATTACTTTTCATTTTTGATTCAATTTTCGAACGGTTTTCGTAAATTTTGCATCATTTCATTTTTTAATGGGAAAATCATCTATATTTAATCAAAAAAGAGCAAACTTTACAGACGAAAATAAAATATTTATCAGGGAACAATCTGATAAATACCAAAAATCAACATCGAGAGATGAAAAAACGAATATAATCAAACAAGTTCTTCAATATTTTAATATTAAATACGCCGAAAATGAATCTAAAGCTGTCAGAAGATATTTTAGTTATATTGCAGTTAAAAATATTCCCGCAGTTACTGGAAAATAGTTAGTATACATAACATGGGTACGGCGGCACTGCGCGCCCCCTTACCCATGTTATGTGAATTTGACACTTTACGAAACCGTTAACGTATATTTTACAACACAAACGACAACACTCACTTAACCTTAAATATTTACAAAGCCACCAACCACTTCACCTCACTAATGTAAAAAATAAACGTTCTCACTTACAAAAGTATTGCAACTCCTCCCATTGCTGTGCTTCATATAACAGCTCATAATCTTCTGACTCACTTTCTTCTTCATATAGGTCAAAATCACTGTCATAGTTTATACCTGTAAGTTTTGACAAAGCTAATGAAACACGTTTACCGTTTGTATCATATGCTTGTATAAACTTTCCATTATGCTTGTAGTCATAAACGCTCAAACTAACTTTACCCTTTCTCCCTCGTATCTGATAGAATGTATTTTCACGAGGAACGAAGAACAAATTCTTGAACTCATGACCGTTGTAGTTTGTTATCTCAATAGTTTTCGTCATTTATATAAAAATAAAAATTTTCAGTAAAAATAAAACTAATGAAATATTTTATTCCTCACTGTCGTCTGCTTTCTCCAACTCTTCTAGCTTCTTCTTAAGTTCAGCAATGTTGTCCTCATGAAGTTTAATCTTTCTCAAAATTCCTTCTCTATCTAATGGTTGCTTTATCTTTCTAAACTGAACTCTACCATCCTTCATAGTATGAATGTAAAAACCTTCTGGAACCGCTCCTGATTTAATGTATTCTACCAAAAACTTTTGTTTCATTGCTTCAGTGACTTTATTTGTCATTTCAATCAAATAAAAATTTTAATATTAATAAAATAACGTTATTTTTTCAGTAAGGAAACGCAGGTGTTTTACGATTTATTTGAGGAGTAGGTTCTGGTTTAAATGTTGGAGTCGGTTTAGGAGTTGACTTTTGAACAGGAGTTTGTACTTCCATAGGTTCAAGAGTCATTGAAGGTTTTGCTTGTGAAGGCGTTGGTTTTGGCGAAGGTGTTGAAGTTTGTTTAACTTCAGCTACTTCAGTATTATTTACAACATTTGCTTTATTTCTTTTCAACATCATAACTGCTCCTGCTGTAGCTAGCAAACCTAGTGGGAGACCATATTTTATATAAGGACTTGACCAAATGCTATTTTTGACAGGAGCTGGTGGAACACCTAACCTTGGTGAGACTGCTCTTTGCCATTGTGCAGCTCGTAAGAAATATTCAATAGGTGCTCCATAATCGTTTGGTAAAGTTTGTTTCATAGATGGTGAAGGTTCACGAGAGCTTGATGAAGAACTCATTTATAAGCTTTAAAAATAAACGTTCATCCTTTATTCCTCACTGTCGTCGTAGCTAAGTTATAGTCATCTAATCTTATTATTGGGATTCCATTAGCACGCACCTGAATGGCAAAGCAACAATCCCTCATAAATCCAATAAGTGGCTTTGGTACATTTTCAGTTGCTAGTTCAATAGGTCCTTTAACAGACAATTTGTATGTTATTGGAGCAGTAGATGTTTGACCTTGCTGGAAGCAAAAGTCCACTTCTGTTGGAAAACCACATAAGAAATGTGTGTTGTCATAGCTATCCCATTTTGTTCCACACTACATCATCCACAATGACCTCATAACATCTTCATTAAATCCTATCATATCATTGTTTGTATTGCAAGCGTTCGCAACCATTTCATAAAATACAGGTCCATATGATTTTTCAGGTTCTGCAGGCATATTTCCATAAGCTCCCATGGAAAGCTGAAGATATTTAAACTTATGGTTTCTCAAAATTAACATAATAGTTGTCTTTCTTTCTAAATAGTGCCCAAATACTTTTAACATTAATAGGCGTATAAGCTGCTGTAAATGTTGCACTTGAACTATCTGTATTCTTTGAGATGAACCGTCCATAGGAATCCAATCCATAACTTTAACAGGAAAACATAAAGCCTCGTTTGTATAATGTTCTACAAGTTCTGTATAAATGTTAGGGTCTAAAGAGAATGACTTTGGATGAATGAAACATTCATTAAAATCCATCTTTGTTCGAATAGTTGCTGGGTTACAGTTGTAATAGTAACTGTTCCACTAGCTTCTACTGCCTTCGTTATCATAGTGAATGGTTCATTCCATGGAACAAATTTATTTGTCGGTGGATTTGAATCTGAAGCAAATGCAACTTTAAGAGTTGGATTGAAAGCAATGATATCATTTACAGATATAGATGTGCATTGTAAGGCGTCGCTACTGAACTTTACTTTAAGCTGAATGTTTCCTGCAAAAGCTGGAATAAATCGAATAGCTTCTAATGGAAGGAATCTTCTAACAGGAATTCGTAAACGAAGCTTAAAATCAAATGATTTTCCTGCTGTAATTGGAGCACTCACAATTTGTCCTGTTCTGCATGTTCCCGAATGACTCCATACATCTTCATGTCGAGTCCTTTGAGAAACATCTACTTTCTTTATTGTTCGGTAGTTTGTGAGTTTTGAAGTTATATATGCTTCTTCTCTTGCGTTGTCTTGAGAATATACGATACGACCATTTGCAAGGATTTGATATCCAGCAACTGCATAGAAAGCGTCATCGAAACCAATCCAAATCCTGGTGGGTTTTGTTTTATTGGAACCTGAACCAATTTCTTTATCTACAATAAATTGACCTTCCATTTTATACGTAATGAATGTATTGTAAGGTCCAACATATTTTCACCAGGAGGTGAGAGATTGGAATGTTACCCATGTGTTATCTTTAGCAGTTCCAGGTTGTGATGGAATCTTTGCGTCAGAATATTTTCTATTAGTGTCACCAATTTGAACTGCATTGTCTATGATATCGAAATATGAGCGAATCTGATGAATATGCTCTGCTGGAGTAAATTCGTTTAACTGTTCGTTCTGCATGTATTTACTTTCGGATAAAAATATCTATTTACTTCATTATTCTCACTCTTCTTCTTGCATTCGTGTGGAAGTTGTTTCTTGACATTTTCAATGAACTGTACATTCTCTTTTGTCTCAACTTCTTTCACTGGTGGGTCAGGGTTCTTTGACTCGGTTTGTTTTTCAATGAAATTCACGAACTTTGCAATAAGCTCTTGGTTTGTTATTGAAAGTACATCTGGCTTCTTTTCTTCTGGTTCTATTGACTTTTCAGTTTGAATAGAAGGCTTAACATGGTTTCGCCCTCAGTGCCATACACCTTAATGTTGTCGCTTTCTGCATTCGCTAATTGGAACCTTTCTTTTTCTTACGTATATTTTACCATCTTTACTCTGACTTACGTAATAGAAAGGATGTTGTATTCCTCTTGCGTCATTTAATATAATAGACTCTCGCTCTGATTTTGACAAGCTCATTTTACATCGGTTAAAGTTTTAATTTTGTTTTTTATCTGCAGTCAAATGACTCAGACAAGCCCTACGGACAAGACCCAAGGGTCCATAGATGTTGAAGCATTGAAGAAAAGAAATTCGTGAGCAAATTTTATCCGAACTGAAAGGAACAAAAACAAGAACAAAAGCCAGAGAGACCAAAGAGAAAACTTAGTGAAACAACTAGCTGCATTAGCTGCTGGAAGACAAAAGAACCCACGTTTTGCTGGCAAAGAAAGCTAGAGAAGAAGCTGAAGCAAAAGCTAAAGAAGCTGAAGCAAAGAAAGAGTAAATGGTTTATTTTTATCCGAATTAAATGTATAGACAAATACCTTTATCTGTTGCGTTCAGTAGTGAAAACCCTGACGTCAAAATAAAGGGGAACAGAGTAACGTTTAAGTTTCCAACAGACTGGATTGTGAACATAAATGAAGAGAAGTACATTGGCATAACAAATATGTATATAACACGTGCTTTCAGAAAGGTTGACTTTATACTTCAAGTCGAGATAGAAAATGACGAACAGTCTTTAAGTGCCCAAAACATTCACATATACAAATACTTTAAAGACGATACAACATTGCAACAATGTATGATTTCATTTAATGAAATGTTCGAGAAAAAGTTAACATTGAAGTACAAACTTTACAGCCTTTACGTGAGTTTCTTGCACAACTGAAAGAAGAAGGTAGTCAGCCACAACTTATAGACTTTCATTATGAATTTAATGAAAATGAAGATGGAACTCATGACTGTCAATTCATTGTATTCTCACCATTCAATGAAGTAGCTAAAAAGAAAGAAAATCCATTACGTATAAGATTTCAAATCTCTGAACCAAGTGATGATTTCAAAAATGTTTTCAATTATGATGCAATGCTTCCGAGGAAAAATGAATTTTCCGAAATTAAATTTCCAGGCATTTGGGATAGAAAGCAAGCTATATTATATTCAAACTTAAGTAAGGGAGTTGAAAATGAGTTCATTGGTCATACAAGACTTCACCACTTCCTAACCCTAAATACTATAAATTAACTGGCTTCAATCGTGAGTTTTGGATAGACATGTTCTCCACTCATGACCATAACTGCCCAGTGTTTTACCTCCAGACCATAAGGACTGTCTCTACATTGAAGCACAACTCTTAAACTCTACATCGCAGTATTGTAAATGACCTCATGGGCTTCGCCCTTGCCGCTAGCGGCTTATTTTTATCACGAATGACCTCATTGCTGACAAAAATAAATGACCTCAGAACTTCAACTTACGAATAAAGCTTGTTTTATTCGTTATTGAGAAGTTAAACTTTTCAGCAAAGCAAGGACTAGAAGACTTACATAAGTCAAATCCAATCTCTTGACCATCATAAAGTGCTTTATATAACTTCATAACACTGAACTCAGAGTCTTTGTCAAATTTTCCTTGCGGAACCATTAAACCTTTATCTTCATCATAGAAACACTGAACAGAGTCAGGAAACATTTCATTAGCGGTTAAAGCAATAACATCTTGCTTCACGCCTTTCATTCTGCAGTGAAATGCAACTTCATTTAAATCATTCGTGAGTAAGTCTATGTAAGTCTTCTTTCCACAAAATATTGACTTGTATGCTAAACTTTGTTTTCCAGGTGTTATTTCTGCGAAGTCAGAATGAAATTGACCAAGGTTTTTACCAATGAGAACTCTTCCATAACGTTTCTCAAACTCTTCAGCTAAACGAGGGATATCTTCATTGTAGAGATGCATACTGTCCGTATCGCTATAAAAGATGTTCATTCCTAAGTCTTCAGCAGTACAGAATACTTCACACATTATTCTCTTCGACATTGACAGAATGTTAACACCAAGTGGACAGAAGGTAAAGTGTCTGCAAATGCTTTTCGTTAGCTTGAAAATAGTTTTATCTGAACCATCCAAACCTTCGAACTTCACTATATGGTTGTAGTTTCTGATGGCATATCTTATAGCATCTTTGTCATTTACTATGGTTATTTTTGACTCAATAGGAGATAGAATAGTTTTGCCATAAATACTGTTCAGAATGAGCTTTATATTTTCTTGCAAAGGATTTCCTTCTGTTTGTTTAAGTCTGTTCAATAATCTTTTCTGTCTTTCTGTCAGTGTGCTTTCATCTCTATATGGTCGCTTCTGTGGCTTTCCTTTCTTAACATCTGACATCGTTAAGCCTTCATATTCAGTTAAATCATACATCTTTATTTCGGTAAGATTCTTTATGTTTGTCAAGAAGAAGTCATAGTGCATTTCAACAATACCTGCAGCATTTGCTTCTATCTCTGATATAAAGTTCTCCTTCAAGAGCTGATGTAGTAATGTTCCAATATTATTGAGGTTTAACGTAGAACATTCATACTTTCCACCAAGTTTATAACATACCATCCATCTTTGTTGGGAGTTTATTTTAATCTTCTCTAAGAGTCTCATGAAAACCTTACCGAAATGTTTGTGTAAGTAGTCTCTGTTTGGTTCATCTAAAGCTTCGATGTTAAAGTCAATGAGTCTATTGCCTGACTTCACATTCCTCTTCCTATTCTCTTCATCTTTCTTTAACCATCTCTCACCTTCTTTTGGTTTGTCGTCAATGGAACGAATGACATCGTTAGCTTTGCGAACTTGTTCTATAGCACTTTTAAACATCTCTCTTCTCTGTTGTTTCAGTGTGTCGTCTCTTCTTCTTGTTTCACCAACGTTTGCATTTGTTATGTCAAACATCTCTCTTCTTACTTCATGAGGTACTGAACGTCTATGATATAAGTCAATAGCAACGTCATTTAAAGGAAATGCTATTGCATGGACTTCGTCCTCGCCGTGTTGCGGCTTTATGAACTCATGAATTCTATCATAACTTATTGCACCATTATAGTCATTGAGGATGTCAGCGAGTGCTTTTTTGTTTGTTGCGTAATGCTTTGCAACATCTATATTAGCTTCTGTAAGAAGTTGTTTTATTTCCGAGTGTTCTAACTTAGACAACTTCCGATACATCTTTAGTAGGAAATAAAAAAATATTTTTTTGAAAAAATTAGATTAGATTTTTTAAGTTATTTTTCAAAATAATTTAATATTTTTATTTTAATGAAACACATGCAAGATTGCAAGTTCTTTTCATACAATGCTCTCGCTACTGCCATCAAGAATGAGTTCAATGGTGCTGCAAACGTTAATGTTATCTTTAACAAGAAGTTTGTGAAAGAATCTAAGTTTGGTCAGTATGTCAGACCATTAGCTATCGTCATTGACCGCAAACGTTATACTTCACAAGAGTTAGCAGTAGTTTTGAAACAAAAGAGTTTCTTCGTGAATGTCAAAGATACTCATTATACTGTCATAAAGAACTCTAACATTGACTTCTTCAGTATTGCTATGAATCTTTCCGAACAGAAAGAATATAAGAAGGGTGAAATATCTGTGAAATATTATCCTTCATCTCTGAAGACAATAACGAACAAAGATGTTATACAGAAATTCTTACCAAAGGTTGAAGAAGCTTCTATTGACATTGACGAAGGAAGTGAAATGGTTGAAGAAATAGACCCTGAAGCTATTTAAGCAAAAATATATTTTTGGTTAGTCTTCATATGGATATTTTACAACAATTCCCCAATGTATAAACTTTTCATACACTTTTTCATAAGCTTTATATACCTTCAGAAATTTTGCATAATCTTTAGAAGCATTTAGATATTGTTTAAATGCTTTGTATGTCTTCAGAAATTTTGCATAATCTTTTACATGTTGTTCGTTCTCTTCTTCTGTCATGAGTTCCGAATATTCTAAATTCATGTTCTTTCATATGAGATAATATTTTATAAAAAAATAAAATTAGCTTAGATTTTTTTATTCTTCCTCTTTGAAGTTGTCAAAATACTCTGTTATTTTTTCCTTCAGTAATGTTAAGTCTTCTTTGAATGTAAGTATTGTACAACCTTTGATGTCATAGTGTGTTTGAGGAAGAGTATTTTTGACAATTTCCTTTATTTGTTCATTCGGTGTCATTGAAATCGGTAAGTTTTCACGATAGAACCAGTTTCTGTCAGATTTGTAAATCTTAGCAAGGTCGTAAAAGCTTTTGTTGTTTCTTCTGACTAAATGTAACATAACCATATCTTTATCTTCTTCTTTCTCCAACTCTTCAGTATAAATCATATACTTATAACTCTTTTCCTTTCCTTTGGTACCGAACGTGGTATTCTTTTCTGAATGCTTTTGTCTTTTGCTTCAATGACTTCATCTTTTGCTTGAAGTTTCTTTTCCAGCTCTTCACGTTCTTGTCTGTGAATTCGTCAAGAAGTTTACAAACATACCAAGCATAACGAGCTGAAGCCCATTGTGCCACATTATTTACAAGAAGTCTATGAACATAATATCTCTCTCAAACCGTTTGGCAATTTTTCACGGTTTTCATAGAGTTTTGGCGACTGGGGTTTTTTACCTACTCGCTGTTCTTCACTGTTTTCAGAAAAAAGTATGTCTCGCTGTGCTTCATTTAATAGTTCAATAGTGCTTTGGTTCCTAAACCAGTCTTTAGGAAGCTTAGTATCTGGAGCATAACATGCTGTCAAAATACTTTGCATTTGGTACATATCGTCTTTGACCGAACGAATGAGACGGAGTTGTTTGTTAAACTGTATGTACTCGTATTCTTCATTTATAGCTTCATGGACTATAACTGTTGTTGTGTTCTCTGTTGTTGACATTACTGTCTTTACATACAAGATAAAAATTTTTGTTAGAAAAAAATTAGCGTTATTTTCTGACTTTCACAAAAGACCAAAAATAAACGCTTTACATGTATTTTTCAGCAACTTCGTCAAATAATTTTATAGCTTTATCTATCTCATCTACTTCAAACGTTTCTTTACCTTTCATGGGAGCACCATACATTTTCTCAAACTTTTCAAGTAGTTCTGTTTCAGCAGCTCTCATATCATTAACAAACACAACCTTGACTCTATTGACTGTAGAGTCATATCTTTGAATTATATTATATGTTCTTCCTATCTTATATCTTTTTGTATTGAAGTCCTTCGGTTTCTGAACGATATAAAGTAAGCCTTCACCGCAACGTTCCGTATCGAATGAACCATAAGTTATGAAGTTATATCCAACAACTGGGTCAATCCATAACAAAACTATTGGTATAAGACTTTTGTCGATGAGATATGCTGTAGTTCCATAGAATCTTACCGATATCATAAGCTCAGGATTTCTTGTCAAAATTTTCTGAGTTGAAGCATTTCTAACCCAGTGGTTTGTTTTCTTTTCAGATGGAGATATAATGTCTGACAAAGAATATTTGTTGTATTTCTTTGAGTATCTTACGTTTAAATCACCTATTCTAACCACTTTGGTGTCATTGTCTATCTTTCTAACTGTTTCAAACTCAATGTTTGACATATCTGTTCTTACATACAAAATAAAAAAATAAATAAAAATAAAACTAACTTTATTTTTCTAACTAATGAAATTCATTATTTTTGTGCTGAATTCAGCAAAAATATATTTTAGGGTAGATGGTTAGATCTAACCTCATTTCTACCCTCATTTCTACCCCAGTTATTTTATAAACATTTTACATGATATACGTTATGAATTCGTGAGATTCTAAACAGTTTTGTAGCTTCTATTTCTTCTTTTAGTACATCGAATGTTTTAACAATGCCGAAGGTTTCTTTATACTTCTTCTTGACGTCAGATAATAGGAAATCGTCAGCAGTTGGATAGTTTTTGTTCAGAAATGCTAACATGTCCATTTTATTTTCTGCTGGTTTTTCTGCTTCTTTCTTTAAGTCTGCATAGTCGTTTCGCATACGTTCTATCTCTTTGACGGAGTAGTTATATTTCCTCATTGCTGCTTTACATTTAGAACATTGCGGATTCATTTTTGCGTTATACATTGAAATAAAACCAGCTAGAACAACCAAGGCGTTAATGGTTTTCTTTAAATCTGAAGCAGTTGGTTTTATCTGTTCATTCCATACCTTACCTCTTCTATCTTTATCTCTTATCTGCCATACACATTCTGCAACTAATGAAACAAAGTTGTCGTATGTCTTAAACTCCCCAGATTTATATATGTCAGAGATGTTCTTATATACCATGTCGCAATCTTTGTCCATAACTTTATGGTTGCAATGATATCCTAGAAACTCATAATTTACCTTTCGTATGAACTTCTTTATTTCTACTGAGTCAGTTGGTTTCACTTCTATTTCATCGAATTCAGGAATAGTGAGCTTTTGTTGTTGGATTTCAGGCAATTTGGGTAAATGGTCAATAATGTCCTGCATGTCATAAAGATATTCTTCATTTTCTTCATCCTGTGCGGTACAGTCTAAATTACTTGTTAAAAGTTCTTGCTTTATCTTCTGGATTTTTGTTTCAAAAGTATATGAAGAAGGAATAAAGCTTTTCATCTCTACTAACATAGATGTTGGATTGATGACTAACAAATTTGGTGCTGTTGTTTGAATTGTTGTTGTGCCGATTGTTGAAATCATATCTTTTATCCAAAATAAAAAAATAAATAAAAATAAAACTAACTTTATTTTTTCTATCTTAAGGAAATTCATGAAAATTCAAGACCCTTTGGGTCTCGCCGCTTAGCGGCTGAGGTTAGAAATGAGGTTAGATCTAACCATCTACCCTAAACATTATTTTTGGTGAATTCAGCAAAAATAATGAGTTCATTTACTCACAATATTTTTGTACAAAACGACCCCAAACTTTTAACTTCTTTTCTGCAGTTTCTAATGCTACCTTAGCGAGTTCATATTCTCTAAATTCTCTCTTTAAATCTTCTTGTTCCCATTGGTCTAGTTCGTATGGAGAATCTCTATAACCATAACATATCTCCCGTTCATGTTCTAATTGTTTTTCGCACATTTTTCTAACTTCTTTTTCAAACAAATGTTTAGCATTCTCTACTGTATCTTCAAGTTCTTCTTCATCTAACTTCTCATGAACTTTCTTGTCTATGGAGTCCATAATTTTTCCAACTGCTATGCAATATTTTGGAGAAGCCCACATTGCTATATAGTTTATAAGTCTTGGGTCTACATACGTTCCTCTAACCTGTTTGATTTCATCAAGAATTCCTGCATGAATTTTGTATAAAAACCAACCGTCTGTATTCCGACGGTTGCTATATTCTTCACAAAATGCCTTATAATACTCTTCCCAGGACTTATTTTCCAACAACTTTCATGAGATAAATAAGAAATAACTTTCATTTTTCATTAGATAACTGTTATTTTTGACGAAGTGAAGATTTGCACTTCGTCAAAAAAATCCCTGAAATCAGGAATTAATTCCCGTCAAATACAAAAAATGAGGGTAGAAATGAGGTTAGATAACTGTTATTTTTGACGAAGTGAAGATTTGCACTTCGTCAAAAAAATCCCTGAAATCAAGAATTAATTCCCGTCAAATACAAAAAATGAGGGTAGAAATGAGGTTAGATAACTGTTATTTTTGACGAAGTGAAGATTTGCACTTCGTCAAAAAAATCCCTGAAATCAAGAATTAATTCCCGTCAAATACAAAAAATGAGGGTAGAAATGAGGTTAGATAACTGTTATTTTTGACGAAGTGAAGATTTGCACTTCGTCAAAAAAATCCCTGAAATCAGGAATTAATTCCCGTCAAATACAAAAAATGAGGGTAGAAATGAGGTTAGATCTAACCATCTACCCTAAACATTATTTTTGGTCATGGACTTCGTCCTCGCCGCTTTGCGTCTTTATGTTAAAATAAATGGTACCATTAATAATACATGACTGTTCTTATTCTTTCTGGCTTATTTTTGTCTTTCCAGTACTCCCGCTCTAATGGTCCCAGATGTGTTGGCTTTGACTCTCTCAAGTTCTTAGATGGTATAACATCTTCAACACCTCCTTCATATCTTACTTTATAAGTGTCATCGTTTATGTTATAGTCAAGTATTTCAATAACCACTCCTCGCTTTGCTTCGTCAATGGTTTCAGCAAGTTTGCCATTACTACTTTCAACTAATTTATGTCGAGGATAAAACGCAATAGAGTCGTCGGCAGCTTTTATAAGATATCCATTACCTTGCGTAGAGTCTACGATATAATAATTTCGACTTAACCTTAAACGTTTCTTTGTCAACGGTTTGTCGTCAAGAACTACACGAACTTTTGTACCAGGAATGAGGGTAATTGTGTTGAATTTCTGATATTTTGTGTTTGGCTTCGTTTCTTTTGTATATACTTTTCTTCTTGTTGTTGTGTCATTGAATTTGGTGTATGTCCTGTTGTAGAATGTGTTGAGGAATTATATACTTCGAGAAAATGTTTCATTGTTTCTTCGGTAAAGTCTCGCTCTTGGTTTAAATCTCTGAGCGTCCTTATGAAGCGGTTTATGATACCGAGTATGTTATGGTTATGGTCTTCAGTAGTGTAGTGAGTTATGTTATGCTTAATGAGAAAATCTGTGATTTCATTGCTGAGGTATGCACCGTCTTGGTCTGATGTTAAAGTACTTGGGTTATGTTCTGCTACAAACTTTTGTAAAACTCTTAACACTTCACGAGTTCCTTTATTTTTCATTGGATATGCATATGCTTTACGAGTGTTAACATTAATGAAGATGAGGAATGGTTTATGTCCTCCTTTTCTGCTTTGAATGAGAGTGTCAAATTGGTATGCGTCAGGAGTGTTGGAGTAAATTGGTAAAAAGTAGTCGTAAGGGTTTTATTTTTGTTTGATGTACAACATTTTTGTCAAAGAACCTTTTCACTTCAGCTCTGTTAGTAAATCCCCAACTCTTTGCAGCTTCATTGAACTTCTTAAATGACCTCCATGGATGTTGTTCGAATACTTCTTTCAAGCTCATTTATGTAAAGTTAAAGATTTTATTCTAGGCTCAAGCGCGTTCAATGAACTCTATACCATGCAAATACAGTCATAAATGGTGGCATATAATCTTCACCCGAGCCTGTTGGATTTGTTGTGAAAGTATGTTGGTGGTTGCCTCCTGGTTCAGTTGGTCGAAAAGTCTTTTTTGCTGAATTGTTATAAGACGGAGATAAAACATCATGACCGGCTTCATACTCTGAGTTGTATAATGGATGGTCTCTTAATGAGTGTATATGGTCGCCAGAAAAGTTTGTCGTTCCTGTATGAGTGTGCGGTGGAAGGTTTGCTTCTTTAATTTTCTTTGAACCACCAGCTTGTTTTGAATATCTAGCACAGTATAAGAATTTGTCTACAATCTGCTTCCATTCACCAAAACCTAAAACACTTGCTGGATTTGTTGAGTTCATTGACGTATAAATAGAGCCTGCAGGATATAATGTTTGAAGTATTTCAGTCTTTAATGTTTGAAGCTCTGTTTTGTCAGCCTTCTTATCATATAAATCTTGAGCAGTGAATTTAATATTATTTTCATCCTTCATGACATAAACATTTTTACATCTAATGTTTTTCTTTGTTGTTATGTTTTCATTCGATGTTAAACCTTGTGGAAAGTTAGGAGGTTTACAATATAATGCATCCCCATCAGTTCCGTCAACCGTTCCTTCAATACTTTCTATAGCAACAGTTGAGAAGGAGTTATGTGTATGTTCTTTATCTGCTTTCTTATCTAACATTGCTGGTAGTTCATATGTTTCAAAGTTTCTGACATGTCCTTCAATATTAGTGCATTTGTTATTTAAGGAGTTTAGTGTATCTTTTACGCTTGTACTCGGATTCTCTAAAGGTGCACTTGAACCAAGGGTATAGTTCAATATTATGTCGTCTGCTCTAACAGTAGTGAAGGATTTATGTGTATGTTCTTTGTCAGCTTTATTATTTAATGTAGCTTGAAGTTCAATTATATCGGAGATATTGTGTTTATGAGATTTCAAAACTTTGTTCATTGCTTCAAGTTCAACTTTGTCAGCTTTACTTTTAATAGCATCTTCAAACGTTATTTTTGCCTTAACTCTCAAAGTAAATCTTGGTTCAACTAATACACCGTTAACATTGAAAGTAGAGGCATAAATTTCATTGTTATAACCAAATGCTTCTGGTGCTTTACCAGTGTCATACTGTACAGTACAGCTTATGCATAACCTTTAGCACGAATGAATTTATATCTTCTTTCATTAACATCTTTCGTCTTCACTTCTTCATCCTGTGTTAAATATCCGTGGTAGTCCGTTATAATCTGTTCGTCTGAACTTATATAATGAACATGGTTTTTATCTGCTTTTTCGGCTAATTTCTCTTCTATCTCATTTATTTCAAGTTCATGCCTACCACCACCTCCCGAAGAAGTATTTTTCTTCAGCTCTTGAAGAACGTCCACTTCGCCATCTTTGGTGTCAATAATGAGACTTTGAGTTAAAACCTTTCCTGTCTTAATGGATGTTTGTAAAACTTCTTCTTCACCGTGTTCGGGGTCATGGTCGTCATCATATCTTGTGAAATCAGAGATGTTGTCATACATTAAGCATATCTGTCTCAAAAGTTCTGCTATTTGAAACTGGAACGAAAGATATACAGAACTTTCATCATCTCCTAAAGTCAAGTCTGCTTTCTTAAGTATTTCTTGAATGTATGCAATGAGAACAAAGTACCTTGGAAAATATTCGAACAATATTTCATTAGCTGTTGGTTTTGGTGGTTCTTTTGGAGTTTCTGTTGTTTCAGTTCCTTCTGTAGGTTCTGTTGGAGTTTCTGCATCTCTTGACTTCAATGCTCTTGCTCTCAAAGACCTAAATGTTAGAGCACCGGGTTTTACAAAGGACTTTATAAATGCTTTAATAGTTCCTGGTAAGTTATTGTTAGCATTAAGTAAGTTCCTTATGCTTCCATCATGTACGTCATAGCACTATGTAAAATCTATACTTTTCTTGTAGTCAGCAATAGACTGACTGTGATTTTTGAAAGATTTGTCAATACCTTTAAGCCAATCTTCATGCATGTCTGATACTGAGCCAAGAATATCATTTGCTTCCTTTAGTGTATTTTGTGCTTCTCGTAAAGTATCCAATCCTGTACGTGCATTGTTTTGCTATACGTCTTACAGTATCTATTTGACTCCTTGTTTCTTGCATCCAACCAGATAAAGTTTTAATAGTATCAGAACCATTTGAAATGAAGTTCAAAGCATTTTAACGTTCATCTAAAACTTCTTCACCAAGTACTGCCCATATCTTTCCGATTTGGTATTGAAGAACTCCATATGAAGCAGCTGTTAAACCAGTATTTATAAGGTTCCATATCCATGATTTAGCAGTTTTTCCATCCTTTCCATCTACACCATCCAAACCGTTCTCGCCTTGAGGTCCTTGTATTCCTTGTATTCCTTGTATTCCTTGTGGTCCTTGTGGTCCGGTGTCACCCTTCTCTCCTTTCAGTTCATCTTTATGTTCGTTATAATATTCTAATGTCATAAGGTGTACATCTTTACTGTTACCAGCAACGCCAAGAATTTGTTTCTCATTCATGACTAAATTCTTTAGGCATTTAATGTTGTCGTCAAATCGAAAGCTCTTTAACAATTCAATGAGAACATTTAATACTTTCACTAATGAGGCATCTACTGTAGAATTATATATTGCACCGTTCCATCATTTATGATAGGAACTTTACTTATTGTAATGAATGGGTCATACGTGTTAAAAGTATCGAAATCAATGACTTTTTTAGTTTTTCCATCGTCAATGACTAAATCATTGCCTTCCACTGTTAAAGTTGAGTTTTCATTTACTAGTTCATGTGCTCTTCTTGCTTCATTTGTTTCATACGCATATGCAGCAATAGTCATATTTTAATGAGAATAAAATGTTGTTCTATTTGCAAAGTACAGACCCAACGAATACGGGACAGTAAAGCTACAAACAAACTTAGGTCTTCAGAATGAAGCGCTTGCTTTCAGAGTTGTTGACTTCAATACTATCGCAACTTTTGTCATAACAGATGAAACAAATTCATAGAGATTGAAATAGATGACAAAAGAAGTGTTATAACATTTCCTAACAGAGCTGGGTATAGAATAGATAAAATTGCTGGAGTCATAGATACTCTCATAAATGAAGAAACTATTGACAACATAGATGTCGAACTCTCTTTCTGAGGGAACATTGAAGTTCAGTTGTGTGAAGGAGTTTAAGATAACACGAATGAGTCATAGAGTTCAATTGCTTCTGGGAGCATACCATATGACATTTCCTTTGAAAAGTGTTGACAAAACGATTGAGATGAAATCTGTTCCATACGTATGTTATGGTAATTGTTATACATTGAGTCTAAAATAGCTAATGTCACAGGCATTTCAGGAGTTAATAGTAAAGGTTCAGTAGAATATAAATCCTTCTGTTATGCAGTCAATTCAATGTTCATTCCAAACGTTCCTGTCATAGCAAACTCATTTAGGTAAATGGGTTCGCATTAGTCCTCATAATTTAAAAGACATGCAATTCAGACTTGTTGACTTTCAAGGAGAGCTGTAGAACTGAAGGCACCAGTGCGAATGACTGTTGAAGTTGACTTTTTAGAAAATATTAAATGCAACAGCTTACAAGAGAACTCAGAGCTAAAAATATAAAGTATGAATGTTATGTATTAGGTCATGAACTTTGGTTGTTGCTGTTTGATGAAACAAATGAGTTAGTTATGTCAGTCAAGAGAACAGAAAAATATTGTGTTAGTGAAAACTGCCACCAAGTCAATAAGATTAGGTTTGCATTATGAAGATGAGTTCGATACTGTTGAAGAAGTTTTGGATAGATATTACAAATTGCTAACTTGAAATTTTTTGACTGACGGCGCAAAGCGCCAAGACCGAAGGTCCTGACTGCTTTAATTTACTAAAACATATTTCAAACAAAGTTTATATTCTGTTGAAAGTTTTGTATATTCATTCGAATATTTATACTTAAACTCAACTCCTGTAGTTCCTGGTGTTTCAATGATGCGGATGTTACCTATTTTCATGAATAGTGGAGTTTGACCACAGCATTCGATTTCAGGGTCGAGATAGTCAATGACACATTGTTTCCCTGTTATTTGTGAGATAACATTTTCAAGGTCCTCCTTTGTTAGAATTATTTGGTTCTTGCTTATAAGATTTGTCAAAAGCTTCTTATCGTCTTTGAGTAAGATAGTTTGATACAACTGAAGAAGGTAATGGTCTACGTTATCTGAAGGATTTGTTTGAACATTTGTGTAAGGGTTGTCGTTGGCTTCTCTTGAAAGAATTTGGTCCAGTGGTGGATACTCTAACTTAACATCTGATGTAGCGTTAGCGTTTGAAGCTGTGTTTAAATTCACCGACTTAAGTTCTGGTTCTTTTTCTTTCAAACACTCTGAACTATAGTTCTTTATGACAATATTGTTTGTCGTTCGTGAGTCAACATTTGATGTTGGTTCAATTGGAACATTAACGGCACCAGCTAAGATGGATTTGCTTCTCATTTCATATAGAATAAAAACCTTTTATATGTATGAAATGAACAATATACTCGACAAGGGTTTGAGTGTAAAGCTAACGAATGAAAATATTGTTGAATTCACTGAGACAGGTGCTGTGTATAAAGATGTAGAACTACTGAACAAAAGAGCTAAGGGAAGAAGCAGGAACATGAACAAAGGGGGAAGCCTATAAAAATTTATGTCAATGATGGCTCAGGAGGTTCAAACATAAAGTATGCAGAAAGTTATAGAGTTTATGCTCTCAAAGGTGAAAAGCCTTCATTTAAGAACAGCTATTCTAACGCATATCCTCAAAAGCTAACGGATGGGGAAGTGGATGATATGAATGACAGCAAAAATATTAACAGAAATGGCGACAGAGATGCATTGAATTTGTTTACCATCAGTCAATTGAAGGTTAAACTTTAAAACAATGTTGGTCGTTCCCATGGAATATTTTTGACTTTAATGGTATTAGTCATGATATGAATCTCAAGGTATGAACGAGGAGAGATGAGAGACTTATATGCTTCCCAAATTTCTTCAAAAGGTAATGTTATACCTGACTGTTTCCAAATGAGTTCAATATCATAACGTGAGAAACCTTGAAAGATAACGAAGTCAGTTATGAGACGTTTTATGTTTAAAGCTAAAAACCTCCATGTTTGCATAAGTATTGCTACAGTTAAATGGTAATGTCTGACTTTAGTTATGATGTTAGCTAATGGTGAGTCTGGTTTTGACACTAAACCTTTTCCGGCGAAGTCGTCACAAACTAATAAAGTGTTTGATGGATATTTTTTGAAGGGGTATTTTGAAAGTTTTGACAGAATATGTAGTTTGTAAGTCGTTTCATATCGTATACTCCTGAGTATTGACGTAAGTGGCGTTTGCAATAATTCTTTCCATCTCCTCAGAAGTCTTTTGCATTCCTGACTGTATAAATTCAACGATGGCATAATATTTCCTCTTACGTCGAATGTAACGTTGAAGAAATTCAATGAGTTCACTGTCTGGAACTTTAACGACAGAGGCTTGAACTTTTGACATAAATGTTTTCGCTGTTGAGTCCATAGAGTCTGAAGTTGCTGATATAATGATTTGGTCATAGTAAGAGTCGTTTCCTAACGCTCTGTTATGAGTATATGACGAATGAGGTTAAATGTCTTACCTGAACCCATCTTTCCACAATAGAAATACACACCATTTGAACAGAATTCATAATCTTTGCTGAAAGGAAGAATAAGAGAAGAGTTAAGTTTGTCTGTAGTTTCATTCATGTCTTCATCTACATCATGTATTAAATGCTTCATTTTATCTCCATTAAAATGCAAGTCAGAAATATTCAGAACATAGCACCGAGTCTAACTGACAAGAGTATAAAGATATACTATGAACACGTTATGATGAAACCAACCAAAATTCAAGAAAGTCAGTATACTTATGAATATCCAAGACACTGGGTAGAGTATGTAGGAGGTGAGAAAGCTATTGAAATCAGACAGGTTCGAAGTATTCCAGCAGGAAGAACAATATTATTGAAGAACTTTAATGTTTTGAGGTATAATGATAAAACAAAGAAGCAAGATAGTTTTCCTGTTGCTGTGTATGTGAACTTAGATACAGGAGATGACATGAAAGTTTTTATATACAAAGCTTCAAACGGTAGTGAGAGAACAACTTACTGCGGAAGGACATCCATTACCTTCAGAAGTTACCATAGCATATAATTTTGAAAACAAACTCAATAGATTTTAAAGTCGTCTCTGCAAAGAAGTCAGGTTTTACATTTAATGAAGCAGATGTCTATTCGAATGAAAACTTCAAAGCTATTGCATGGTTAGATAATGACGATTGCTTTAAGAAAATCTTTAAATTCAGTGACTCAACGATGTCAATAGATGACCTTCGTGAATGTTACCATCGACGTTTACAGTAGAAGGTTCAGCAGGATTGCTTACAAGATTGTCAATTGGTGGTATTTGGTCTCGTGAGAACATTGTTATAAAATCCAGTATAAGTGAATTTGCT